AAAAAAATGCCACAATTTAGGAGGAAGGGTTTTTCAGTGGGTACTAAAAGATACCAAAAAATGGCGTAAATAAAAAATAAAAATTTTTAAAACCATCCGATTTGGCGTGGAATCCCCCATATGTACAGAATAATATTTATTACAAAACAATAAAAGCATTTCGCAAGTGAGAATAGAGAGTAAACAGTGATCCAGCCCTACGTGAGAATCTGAATGTACCCTGCAATAAACATATCGATGCTGAAGAACACATACTTCTGATTCCGAAAAAAATTAAATTTGTCTCGACATTTTAGGATTTTCGAAAATCATTGATTATTTATTTTACTAAAAGTAAGGGAAATACAATGTCTTTGTATAAGACCTTTTTTGTAGCAAATAAAATTGTCTACAAAACATAATTAATAAAAAATCGCTTTATCTCGCTTACTTTTTGAGATATTTTCAAAAATCTATCATGCTGTCACAGATGCGCGCGAGACTCTCGAGCTATAGAGAATATAGAAGAAAAAGAGAATATATTTAAGAAAAAGTGTTTTTGTCGCGTTATACTGTTTTCATTGAGATGAAGCCAACAATAGGTTGTCTATCTCTCTTGCACGCATGTAAGCTAAGAGTTTGCGCATACGTGCCATGGCGACCTATGTCACAATGAGTAAGAGCAAAATAGCTTCATTTTCTGTTTCTTTCTACAAAGGCGTAGGACTACGGGACTAAATACCTGTCTTTAAATTGGGATATTTCCTACAGGTAAATATCTATAAATATAAATCCAACACCAAAATTTAAAAAATAAATTAAAAATTCATATGAAAAAGAAAATTTTTTTAAATAACCCGTTTTAAGCGAAATATCGAGCAAAAACCGTTTTCACCCCTTAAATTTTAATAGAAGGGATGAAAAAAAAATTTTTTTTTCCCCTACGATTGTTCTTTGTAGTTTTTTTTAAAGATAATTAAAAAAAAAAAATTTAAAAAGTCCAATTTTTACATTTTTTATTGAATTTTCATTTTTTCAGTACTTTGAACTGTCGTATGGGGTGAAAGGGTGCGTTTTAGGGGAAAAATGGTCTGAGAGAGATAGGCCTAAAATTTTATGCTCTTCAACTTTTATTTGAAACTTTTTTTGATATTTTCAACATATAATCCAAAAGTCATATTTTGGGGTAGTTTTTAATTTTTTTCACCCCTTTCCCGGTGGTTGAGAACTTTTTTACTTTGCCCACAGTTTTTGACGCATTTTTTTTTATTATTTCCATATTTTTTCAGCCGTATAGGCCAAAAACCCGATTTCAGGGCTATTTTGACTGGACTAATGGTACAGATAAGGTTTATAAATTAGAAAAGAGAGAGGCATTGTACGGTTTGAGAGAGAGTCCGAGAGCCTGGTATGAGTGTGTTTTGATGAATATATGAAAAAATTGAAATTTGAAAGAAGTGAAAGTGATTATTGCCTATATATGAGGTATGAAGTAAGTGAAACGTTTTACTTAATATTGTTTGTGGATGATCTATTAATCTGTGGAAAAAACGAAAAAAAACTTAATGAGATAAAAGCTGAATTATCAAACAAATTTGCCATGAAAGATTTGGGAGAGATAGACACTTACTTAGGTATTAAAATTAAATATGATCGTATAAATGGTAAGATGACATTAGATCAAAGTGATTATATTGATTCGTTGGCAAGGAGATACAATATTTTATATGCGAAGCTTTATTGTACTCCTATGGAACAAAATTTAAGTTTGGAGCCGGCACAGGCAGCATCAAATAATTTAAAATATAGAAACTTAATTGGGGAATTATTGTATATTGGTTCGGGAACAAGATTAGATGTGAGTTATAGTGTAAATTATCTAAGTAGATTCGAAAATGCATATGATGAGACTCACTATAGATATGCTTCAAGGGTATTGAAATACTTATATTTAACAAGGGATCTCAAGTTAACGTATAAGAAAAACTTAAATGCTGATGTAATGGATTGTTTTGTTGATGCTGACTGGGCAGGAGATAAAAGTGATAGAAAATCTACGACGGGATATGTAATAAAAATATATGGAAATGTCGTATACTGGAAATCTAAGAAGCAGTGAAGTGTAACTAAATCATCAACAGCTGCTGAATATGTAACATTATCAGAATCTGTAAGTGAAATTAAAGTTATTAAAAATTTATTAAAAGATTTCAGGATAGATACTGAAAAACCGATAAATATCTATGAGGATAACTCTGGAACAATCGCGACAGCAAAATTTGGAAATCTTACAAAAAATTCGAAATATATAGAGGTTCACTATCACTTTGTAAATGAATGTTATGAATAGGGAATAATAGAAATTGTAAAGGTAGAATCGGAAGACAATATTGCCGATATTTTGACTAAAGCGTTGGCACGAAATAAGTTTGAAAATTTCAGAAAAGAACTTGGAATTATTTAGGTGAATGTTAAGCATAAATTTAAGGAGGTGTGTTGAAATATTATGTGTTAAGTAAATTTTTGCTTATATTTAGAATGTAGTTGTCAATATATATAACCTTCATAATAAGTATATGTATAACTATATTGACTGTTGTTATTGTTTTGTAAGCTAAACGAAAATATTCCGAATATTCTCGAACCGGAAATCGGAGAGAGGTCCTTGGTTTAAATGTATTTAGAATAATCTAGAAACTTCGAGAAGGATTGACGAAAGTGATTAGGACCATTGGTGGGCGAATGTATATATAAACACGATAAAAAGGGCAGCGACAGGCCTTCTTGTTTCAGAGCGATTAGTTATATGTGTTCTATTATATTATATACTTCTTCTAATAAAACTCATTAAAAGTATCTTCGACTTCTTTTCTTAACAATCCCATAATAATAATAAACAGAAATTTAACCTGCATAGGAAAGAATATAAATTAGAGGTAGGAGACAGCGTTTACGTAGAAAACAAAAATCGATTTAATAGGGAAAAAATGGATGAATTGAGTATCGGACCATACAAAATTCTCAAGATAATTTCCATCTATGAAGTTGGTTCTGAACACAAAAAAGCAGAATCAAATTTCTATGATATTACAAAATTATCTCCAGTATTTGTTAGTAAATAAACAATTGCATACACTGTCAGGTGCAATTGTCTTTTTTTTTTTTTAAGGGTGAAGATATAAAGAAAACCATGTCGGTTTTAAAGCGCTTTTCTTTAGTATAATTAATCTAGTATTTATATTATTGTTAAAATATTAAGTAAATTTATTGTGTCATGCATACGTTAGATACGTACGCCAATGGTTTTCTTGTAGTTAGTTTTTAAGTACCCATTTTGAGAATAGAATATAAATACGTTTCTCACACATTAAGAGAAAATACATGGTTTTATAAAAGGTTAAAACGACCTTCTTATAAGTGTAAATAGATACTCTAGGATACGTAAAGATGTTTTTCTATTTAGGTGAAAATATAAGAAATATATAAGAAATATATAATCCTTTGTTTTTATAATCCTTTGTTACTCTGAAGAAGGAGAATATGTGAGTATAGTGTATGTGTACGTGAGGACACGGGTGATATCATAAAGGTCGATATAAGACAGTGTGAATAAATATGTTGTAATGAACGAAAAGAAATATGGATGTTAGAATTAAGTGTAGAGAAGTATATTGGAATGAACGGTTAAAATAAAGATGTTGAATTAAAAAGTCAGAAAATTTAACAAAGAAAATATTAGGTTGGACTTAAATAACATGAGTCAAGCTTGTAGTTCAATTTTATGTCAAACTGGGATATAACATATTAATATATATATTTTTTTAAATTAAAAAAAAAGAAAAGAAACAATTGAATTTATAAAGTATGAGGAATTAATCATCTACTTTAAAATACATTGTAGATTCTAACGTTTATTATATCTATTATGTATTGAGTACAGGACTTCCTATGTATTAATTATGACAAACTAAAGAAAAATTGTAATAAGTTTTTAATATAAAGTAAAACATAAAATATCAAGAGTAAATCGACCTAGTATGACTCATATTTATTTTATTTTCAATTTTAAAAAGTACAAAAAACACAGGAATGTTTAAATAATGTAAAAAGGAATGAATAAAAATTAAGGCTGACTATGTTTTTTGATTTTTCCCATTATTAAGAACTTGTATACCAATTTTTAGATTTTAGAAAACTGTTGCGACATACATGGTTTTTTCACAACTTTGAAGCCGTCCCCCCGCTAATCGCAAAAGAAACTGGCTGACTGACGGCAGGCTATTACTATACACCCTAAATACTACATAATATCGAAATATCAGGTTTTCGAAAACTGTTGCATTTTTTTACCACTCACCTCTCCGACTATCACAGTTATTATTACATCGATAGCTTTACATCATATCTTATAAAATCATTTATTGTTGTACATTATTTTGTTATTTCAAAAATCACGTCTTATAATTCTTAAGGAAAACATCTTTTTAAAAATCAATTATATTTTTAGTCTTTCAATTATAGTTTACGATAAGAATTATTTTATGAAATAGTCAATAATTGTAAAATGTAGTAAAATGACGCGCATAATACTGAAGAAAATAAAAGTTGAAATAAATTATTATTTAAAGATTGGTCGAATGCACTAAATAATGATATAAATGAAAATGCGTTAGTGTTAATAGCGACATTCTTGAATTAAGTAATGTTATTAGACCTAAAAGAGCATCCAAAAATGTGCAGACCATGAAATAACAGAAAGCTGTACGCAATGTGTTAAAAATTAAAGTACAATTCTTACCCCGTTTTTGTAGTGGCTTGTGGATTGGGCCTTCCAGAACACACACACTTTTAATTGTTAATAATAAAATAATACTGGTCACGTAGAACAATAAATATTACTAAAATATTACCCGCGACTAATAATATTTTACTACTGATAAAAATATACATATATAATATTACTAAAATATATTTTCTCAAATTTGATTATCTTTAAATTTATTCTTTCATGTTTACGATCAATCTAAATAAAAAAAATTCACTGACAAAATAAAAAAAGAGACACACTTACTAATGGAAAATTAAAACGCAAGATTCAACAGGTAAAAAAGAAATGGCCAGCACTGTTTCCTGATATTTACAAACCTATGCCTACTCCCACTTCTTTGACCTGCTACTTTCATACAACAACGAATCAGTTATTAGGATATGTGAACTTTGTTTCTCATTGGATACTTATACCGACGCCCACGAAGCTTATTGGCTGAGGAAATTAACATAGAACTGACAATTGCTTCGAAACTTCCGAGCATAGCAGATAAAAACAGAAAATGATTTAGATCGTTTCAATGGAGATATAACTTTTCGAAATAAAAAGTAATAAGAAATTGGTATATATAAAAAGGTTCGAGTAAATGTAAATATAGGCGTATATTAAATGTTTATGCTTAACTAATTGGTAAAATGCTAAATACCTAGTCAATCTGCACATTACTTACTAGGCACTCGTTAAAGTAAAAATAAGATTATTTCTAGAAAAACGGCTACGTTTTTCTACACTTAACACGTCCACGCCGGCACGTACCACCTGTGGCCAGCACTACATTTTTTCATCGGGCGTCGCGTACCACCGGTGGTTCGCGTTAGATTTTTTCATTGGGCAGTGTGTACTACCAGCAGTACTACGCATTCAATTGTGCTATTAAACGGTGCTATTAGACGCTGAAAATTTAATGAATGAAAATTTAACATGTATTCATTGAAAACATTTATAAGCCATATTTTTTTATGATCATTTAGATGGTTACGGATTTTATGGCCCTTCAGAATATCTTAATCTTTAAGTAAACGATACTTTATACCTACTGCCTATTGTATTTTATGGTATTTAATTTCACAGCGCAAACACTGAAAATCGACGCCGGCGTGAACGTGTTAATGTAGTATAATATAGGTTTAATATAGTATAATATAGGTTTAATGTAGTATAATATAGGTTTAAAGGTTTATACGCAGTTAGAATTTTCAAAAAATCGATTTTTTTTTTTTTTGCATTTTCGGAATGTACATATATTTAAGTATATTCTCTGAAAATTTGAAGCTAATCCGATAAATATTTTCGGAGACATACCTGAATTTGTAAGGCTACGTCAGTGTTAAAAAGCAGGTAGATTAAGAACCGAAGTAACAGCTGCACTCACGACTCCGCGAGCTAGTAAAAAAAAATACAGAATCAGATGAAAAAGGCGGAAAAACATTGCAAAAAAAGTATTTTCAGGGAAAGGTAAACTCACGGCTAAGCTAATAGATAAGCTGACAGTTTACTATGGTTTGGCAATAAGGAGAAATTATGATTCTGTAGATAATATGTATAATGCAATTTGGGGAACATATTATTACTATTGTTCGACTGATGAGAAGCCTCAACACGAAATGTGCCCAGGTGGAGAAGGTTCATGGTGTAGTTGGCAGCAAGAGTTAGCAACAGAAACATTATCTTCTTACACCCATGATTATCCAACTTTACCAGCTGATGTTGCTGAAGCTAAATATTCAATTTATGAAGACCTTAGCAACGTAAAATTATTGGAAAGGTGTGTGGGTGGATTTACACAAAACAATAATGAGAGTTATAATCAGTTAATATGAAAAATAACTCCAAAAATTGTTCCATGTGGCTCTAAAGTTGTTGAAATAGCGGCTTACATTGCAGCTGGAATGTTCAATGAAGGTACAAAATCATTATTGTACTTTATGTGTGCATTAGGACGTTTATTAGGCACCGCAGCTCATGCTTATGTCGACAAAAAGGATGCAGAGCGTGTGATGATCTTCGACGCGAGAGCGCATGGGAGCACGCGAGAAGGAAAAATGGCTCGACGACCACACCATGCTGGACTTATTAGAAGCTACCAATACTGCAGAAGGTCCCTCTTATGGCTCTGGAATAGATGATACTATGTAAGTTGAAGAAAAAAAATTTTAATTATGTGTAAACTACTTCTGAAACTTTAAACGCGTTTTTCTCAAAACGGTATTTTCAAAATCGGTAATATCGATTTCTCAGAAATAGCTCAACCGATCAGGATCAAATTTTTACACAATCTTTTTAAATATATTCCTCAGGTATTGAACGAGGGAATAACATTTAAAAAAATTGTTACTATTTTTTTTTTTAAATTTAGAGCGAAAATTTCAGTCATAAACGAAAAATTTTTTTCAAATAGACGCTATTTTGTCAAAAATCAAAATTTTTATTATTCCTTCGTTTAATACCTGCATTAATCTATCCTTTAAAAGAATCCACCACATATGTTGATTTCAGATAATCCAAACTGCCGAAATAGAAATCATCGCTAAACGCCTTTTTTTGGAGGTCGTTCGAGACATCATCTACAGAAGCGGTGCACATCAATATTTTTACATGATCGACGCGCTACTGTATTCTTAAAAGTAGGATCTATTTGAATAACCATCACTTGTTATTGATAAATAAAAACTGTTTCTATAAAAAATTCATAAAAAGACGTCTTTTTTGAGCCTCGCAACTGCGTATAACCCCTTAAGAATGATATAATATTCGTTTTCTATAAATACAAATAATGTAATACAGTTTATTACATTAACCTTTTTTCAATTAATAATTTTGATTATTTCTTGACACTGCAGCTGCATTCTATTCGCATAATAATTCACATTGCATCTCTACAAAGAAGATGTTAGTTAACAAATACATCAATTTTTCTTGTCAGTCAATGAAAAAATAATATCTTCTATTACCGTGTACAAAACTTGGTAAAAGATATTGTTCGAAAATAGAGTTCCCTTAAATAATGTATTTACCGTTTGTTTTCTTAATTTTTGATAACTAGGATGCATTTCTTCTGGTATTTTTTTGATAGAATATTGCTGCATAAGGTTTCTTCCAAATGTAAATATAATAAAAACAATGCATTCAAAAATCTTTTTGATGCTTTGATGCTTTTTGCTGCATTGCTGCAGTATTGTTAGATTCTTCTTATCATTCTTGATAGTAATGAGTAGACACTTCCAATTTACCTCCCCTGTTGTATGAATCAGTTTATCAATCAATTTAATATAGGTTTGTTTTTTACAAATACAAGATTGTAATGTTTACCTTTTGACAGATTCTTGTCTTGATTATTCTTTGTTACTGCAGCTACATTCTATTTACATAATATTATAGAATAAAACTCTTGTTAGGATGACTTAATCAATACAAATCTTCTAATCGTTAGCCGTAAGAAAATGAAATATATATCCATTGATCAAATGGTATAATTAACTCTTCTTCTCTTGAGTATAACGTTCTTGGATTGGAATTAAAAATATAGATCTGCATACTTATCTAAAAATATTTAAGAAAGAAATTTATATGTGTACTAAAATAAGTTTGAAGAGAAAAAAAGTTTAGATCATGCTTATAGTTAAAAAACAAAATGATCCATATATTTAAATAATTAGTAGAATTTTATATGTATAAAAAAATATATACTTTACTTACTAGTATTTGTTATAATAATTTGATAAAGAGAACGTCTGAAATTCATCTGTATTCTCAGATTTAATTTAGAAAATTATTTTTCTTAGGTTATGACATAACACTGTCCCACAGCAATTCATCCAATTTAACTATTTTCATTCAAAATTGGCGATCACTAAAAAAAGAATATGAAACGAATTAATACAAATAAAAAATATTATTCACTTGATTATTGCATCACTAAGAATTTTTTTAATTCAATGCTTTACAATACACGTAGCCTGTATTTACGGTATTCAAAGTACATTGACATGTAGCCATGTTGATTTTGTCCTAGCGATATATTATCTTTCGTCTAGATGGCGACATATATTCTACTAGTCAATAAGATATAGTAGCAGTTACTTCCGCTAGATGGCAGCATGATTTTACTAGTCGGTACAATGAAGTAATAAATAATACCGTTAGATAACGAAACATATTTTACCAGTCGGTAATAAAATACAGATTTCCCAATAAATTTTTATTAATTGATTAATAATTAATACAACTTAAATCATTTTTTATATGATAAAAATAAGTGTATTTTAATAATATTATAATAAAAAAATTATAAAATTATTATATTTACCTTTAAACATATTATTGTCTAGATTATTTTTAGTCAGAGCAGCTGCATTCTATATAAATACATAAATTTTTCTTGTCAGTAAATGAACAATAATATCTTCCATTATCGTTTAGAAAACCTGGTAAAAGATTTTGTACAAGAATAGAGTTTCCTAATATAATATATTTACCATTTGTTTTTTTAATTTGTGATAACTAGGATGCATTTCTTCTGGTACTCTTTTGATAGAATATTGCTGCATAAGGTTTCGTCCAAATGTAAATATAATAAGAACAGTGCATTCAAAAATCTTTCATTGTTGCAGTATTGTTAGATTCTTCTTATCATTCTTGATAGTAATGAGTAGACACTTCCAATTTACCTCCCCTGTTTTATGAATCAGATATTAACTCCTACCCTGCGAACTTTTCAGAAATATCAACCCTACGAACTTTTCAGAAATATCCACTCTACGAACTTTTCAGAAATATCCTCTCTACGAACTTTTCAGAAATATCCTCTCTACGAACTTTTCAGAAATATCCACCCTACGAACTTTCCTTACCTGTATATTAAATGATAAGATAATAAAATAAATTATTGATTTATGATGTTATAATAAGATGAGTAATGCAAAAAGAATTTTTTAAATTATTTTAATCTTATAAAAGAATAAAATATAAATTTAATAATCATAAAAATATTTCGATCCAACGAGAAATTAAAATATTTGTATCAGGTTCTAAATAATATTAGGAGTATTTTTTATAACATTATGAATTATTATTATTATTAAAATAATAGTCAATGCACGTTAGTGCACATAAATGCGTGCGTGCGTTCATATTATAACACCTTGCGTGTTACATTGTAAGTTTACATTTTTGCGTTTGTTTAATAGGAACTTGTGTTTTATATTATTTAAAGTTTTAACCGAATCTACGTCACAATTTTTACATGTTGCGTTCATTTAGGATTGTAAATCGGGTAGGTAGGTCGATTTAAAACGATGTACATGATTTTTCATCTAACTTAAATAATAAGTTGGATAAAAAATTTGGTGACACGATTTTCCGCGTTTGAATTTTAGAAATTTCTTTCTAACAAATGTCTAATGAAATGTACTAGTTAGAAAGATAATTATAAAAGTAAAGTCTCTTAGCCCCTGGGCCTCCGAACACAGCAACCTTCTCGCGGTGAGACCTGGGTCGATATTGCTTGTGATCTATTCCAAATCTAATTGTAAATTATGTAACACAAGTACTATCGGGCAAATGGCTATGCTAGATTCAATGTAAATTCATTTACATGTTTAAATTATTATTAACTTTTTTTGGTCCTTCTGACACATGAATTTTATTAAAAATAATCAAATGAATCTTAGATTTTTCAAATAATTTGTTAAACTAAAATATATATATATGTAGGAGAGTTTCAAGTGTAGCAGAGGTAGACAAAAACTAGTATTCAGTCCTTTCTGTAGATCTTATCTTATTGAAAAGGAAAAATCTATTCAGACTAAAAGAAAAGATTAGGTGGGCCATAAAACCATAAACGAACCTTGAGGGTTATTAGGATATTGGTGTAATAAAAAACCATGTGTGCAGTGTAGGGACCCTTTGAAGAATTTCCGATACCTGTGTAAACATATGCGATGCCATAAAAAGAGGTAACATTCTGATGTGCTAGATTAAGTTTCTGTATGCATAGTTCCCACTACCGAAAACCATAGGCTGTACCTGTCGGTGGACTATGGGGTGGATCCTTATGCTATTGGTCAGTAAGATTTGTAAGCTTCTTCCCTCTCAAAAGGGGTGTAGGTGATTTCTGATATAAAAGACATGGAAAGAAATAAGAAAGGGGCAGTCTCGGTGGTAGAAGTAAAGCAGTCTCAGTCGTAGAAGTAAAGTAGTCTCAGTCGTAGAAGTAGAACAGTAGCAGTCGTAGCCGTAGTTAGATATCAGTTGTAACAGTCGTAAGAATTCAGTCGCTCATCTAAGTTGTAACCGTAAGATTGTGAAACTAATATTGTACTTTTTCTAATACCTGTTTTAAATAAATCTTATTAGTAGGATTAAACTGGGTGTATGTTCACCTCGCACCTCTCACCCTAAATAAATTATCCCTACATATATATGAAAAATAGTATTTAAAGTCTGTTGTGTGTGTGTTTGTACTAATACTTTTAATAATTAAACTCTGAGAACATTATATAATTTATGATAGAAATAATTGCTCAAGACTAAAAATAGAAGTCATTCAATTGTTTTTGAAGCAGACTTTCAAACGAAACAAAAAATTTGTTATTCTATCGAAAATCATTATATTATTATTATGTTTTGAACGATTTTGAAAAATATCATTTTTAAAAGTAAAATAAATTTTATTGAAAAAAATGCATTTATAATGTCAAGGTTGGAAATTCTTTTCGTCATCGTTCTATGTAATAAACTCATGGTGTTAGCTTTTAAGCAATGGCGAAATCGTGTGACGAATGATAAAGGCTTAATGCCGAAGAGGCCCCCCACTTAATTGTGGCTCAAGAGGGCTATTCTATCTAGGATAGAAGAAACGGAAAGAACGGGTTGTGGTTGAGTTGTACACCGGTCGTTTTGTAAATTTTGCAACACAACAAAACTATTATAGAACTGACATGAATCGAATCGAATATTTTACAAGCATCACTCGAATTGCAAGCATTACTCACTTGAAGACGTCATATACAATCAACTTAAGAGCCAGGGCCGACAGTAGGTGCATAATAATGTGTGTGCTCGTAGAATATTATTGTTCACTATCATACTACTGAAAAAAAGAACAAATAATCCATTATATTTCGATTCGAATAGTCATAATTTCTAATCGTACTTTGATTTAATACGAGACGTTATTTTTAACTTTGTTTTTATTTTTCTTTTGTTTCGTTATATTAACAGTATAATTTGTTCGTATTTCATTTTGAAGTGCTTTTTATTTTTTTTTATTTTCTTTATATTTATTTTGTAAATGCAACTTTGATTAATTATGCACATATTGCACAGAACTGCAAAAAAAAAGAAGAACAGAACAATTAACATAAAAGTAATACTATAAAGTGTAATAAATATCAAATAAAAAGTGAATTAATATTTTCTCGTTTTCCAGGTAATACATAATAATAATATACACACAAACACACACACACACACACGTTAAAAAATTACGTGACGAGGTTTTTCTTTTTACGAGTATCGAACGAATAACGGGTTCGATTATGCAAATCATGTAAAAGGAAAAAATGGAAAAAAAAGAAAACCTTAACAACTACAAACAAAAGAAAAGGAAATAAATAAATGGTTGTTTAGTGACGAGACGATACGTCACGTAATCACGGAAGAAAATGAAATCCATTAGTAAGCAATGTATTTTTTTTTTTTTTAAGGATCGATACCTATTTCTGTTCGAGTTCGTAATAATGATCGCAAATGATTTATGTTAGCGCAATCGTCTCGGTTGACAGAAGGTTAACAAAAAATTGTCTCAATCATTATGGATTTTAACTAACGTAATCGAGTTGATTTTCTTTTAATTTGTTTTTGTTATTTCATGTGTATTATTATTTTGACGGCCATATTGACTGATAAGAATCATTGAATAAAGAATATAAAATAAAACAATCTAAAAGAAACGAATGAAAAATAAAAAGAAAAGAGAGGAAACAAATTCAATAAATTGAAATGAAATAACTATGAAAAAAAAAAGAAAGTTTTGCTTAAAATCAAGGCCAAGAAATTACAAAGTAGTACCATAAATAAAGACTATAGGAACGGACTTTGATGTTTTATAGGGAACGCTTGGGCTGACCTTGACCCGAAAAAACATTATATCGACAATAAGAATAATGAGAGGAGAATTTCTTAAGCGTACTCGTATGATTCTTCTTCTTGTTCTTGTTCACGAATCTTATATCATTCTTATCGTCATCCTCATCGTCATAGTCATCGTCATCATTCGTTTTTCAAATAGAAACAAAAGTAATAAATTTTTCATGTCTCTAGAATTTGACTAATATTTATTGATTAATATAATTATCATCATTATTTATAACTTCTTACCACTACAGCGTGGTGACAATTTGTAAACAATAGAATTTTTTTTAAAATGTCTTATCCTTAGAGACGAAAAATGATGATAAAGTACTGATGATAAAGTAAAAGACAGAAAACAGAGAGAAAGAGAGAGAGTGAGAAAGAACAGTAATATTGGCGGTGGTGTGGTGGTGGAGGTGGTGGTGGTGGTAATGATGGTGGTGGTACACACAGGATGAGATGAAACAGTAGAAGGAGGAGGAGGAAAAAGATGGAGGGAAGGAGTCAACACGCGTATCACACGATTTTACAATGGTGCATTAGACAGAAGTAGCAACGCGAACGGTGTATCTCGCGGACCGCTGGTCTCGATTAAATTTAATATATATAGAGATACTTTTTAATAAGTAAACACATTGAACAATTTTATTATTATATTATATTATAGATAATAATAATATTTATATATATATATATATATATATTTTATTGAATAAATTTGAACAATAATTATCATACGAAAAAATTTAAGATAATTAATTAATTGTAAAGAAAAAACAAAATATATAAAGTTAGAAAATAATTTGTATCTTTATATATAATGGTTAAAAATTTTGAAAAGTGTCTTTTAACATCACTCGTTAAAAATAAAAAATTAATATAAATGTAGTATGAGTTTCTATTTAAAAATATATATATAAAGCACATAATTGAAATATTAAGAGAAAAAAAAAAGAAAGAAAAAAGAAATGTAGATAAAAGAAAAGCTTTAAAAAGTTCATATACAAATTTTCTCATTAATGAAATATTTAAAGAAAAAAACTAAAAATCAACATTGCTTTTATATATCTTGGTATGAGCAATTATTATTGACTCGTACCACTGCAAGAGCACTTATACACACACACGCACGCTCTTGTACTACGCATTAGTGCGAACGTATTTAATGCGAGTTCTGACTGTATCGAGTACCACTATTCGTGCAGCATTCGGTTCTTCTACATTAACGGGTGTACCCCCTTATATCTTCTAAATTTATATCGTTTGTTTGTTTGCTTGTTTTTTTTTTTTTTTTTTTTTTTTTTTTTTTTTTTTTTTTTTTTTTTTTTTTTTTTTTTTTTAACAGATAAAGAAAGAAAAAAACCAACACAGTTACGTACCCACCACCATCACGGAATTTGCTACGATTTATGTTAATTATATCCCTTTTAAAAAAATATATAAAAAAACTATACAACTATACTTGTTTGTTTAACAACATACACACATACAAATAAATTGGGAGCCATCTCATTGGCAAGATGGCAAATGCAACTGCAGCAGCAACTGCAGCAGCAACTGCAACAACAACAACAACAACAATACCACCAGGTGGTAATCCAGAAAAAAAGATCGATTCGATGAAAATAAAAGATGAAGAAATAACAATACCATGGAAATCGATGAGTTTACGTCAAAAATGGACACTTTTAACGAGCAACATAACCGTGGAACCAATGATAGCATGTTACGTTATACCAAGTATGTTGGCATCATTGGCAACACAAAATTTAAATTTAGAAAAAGCATGCAGAGTCAATTTAGGATACTCAGATGAGATTTGTACGAATTTGGCGGCAAGAAATACGACAGGTTTGGAAATGGAAGAAACTGCGGTACAACAATTGGTTGCCGGTATGCAAACGTGGAAAACAGCATTGCAAAGTGGTTTACCGATATTGTTGATATTATTTATGGGTGCTTGGAGCGATAAAACTGGTTATAGAAAACCATGTATGTTATTGCCAATAGTTGGTGAATTTTTGAGTAGTGTCAGTTTGATAGCATGCACCTATTGGTTTTATGAATTACCCATGGAAGCTACGGGTGTTTTGGAAGCATTATGGCCTTCATTGGCTGGTGGTTGGTTCACTATGTTTATGGGTGTATTCAGTTACATAGCAGACATAACGTCGATAGAATCAAGGACATTGAGAATAGGTGCGGCTAATGTTTTTTTTTCGCTCGGTGTACCAATAGGTATGGCCCTTTCCGGTGTTTTGTATATAAAACTTGGTTTCTATGGTGTATTCAGTATATCCATGATGTGTTATGTCATGAGTTTCATATACGGATTGGTTGTTATCAAAGAACCACCAAGAAGACCAATTAATAATAAACAACCTATTGATAAAGATCAATTTTTAAATAAGAACATGATGATTGATAAAAGGAACGTGTCTTTTTTTGCATCTGCCAAGGACTTTTTTTCATTGAAACACATCGAGGAAACGTTTAGCGTTGCCTTTAAAAAGGGTGCTAATAATAGACAGAAAAGGGTCATCATGCTTATGATCATTGTGATGGTTGTCATTGGACCATTGTATGGTGAGTTCTTCTTTTTTCTCTTTTCTTGTTCGCTTATTTTTTTCTCTTGTTGATATATTGTTCAATATGGTTATAGCGTTGATTTGTAAATTATACTTGTTTAGTTATGTCTTAGTTATTTATATATTATATAGTTATATACGAAGTTATTCGTAGTAGACAAAATATCATATAATCGAGAATACTTGAGAGATTATGAAACTCGCGTATGCAATTACCATTTCATCAAAGAAAATCACGTGGAAATGTAATTATCGAGTCGGATGTTAAAATTATCTTAAATACCTCTATTGTATTCTTTAAATTGTAGACACTTATGGAGACCTAAATAACTGACTATATATTTGTTTGTAGAAAATGATTTTCTTTGCAAAAAGTACAAAAAATTACATCGATAAATTAAATAATTACTAATTTTTAAATTAATTACTAACATTATTTATTTATTTATTTATTTATTTATTTATTTATTTTTTTATACAGATTATAGGAAAATTAATCGTTATACAAGATTTAATTATTTATCATCGATCCTATTGGTATTTTGTATTATTATACGTACTTATTTATAATTATACGATTGATTGAAATTAAAGGCATTAATTATAGCAATGCATTATTCAATATGTTCGTATACATATGTGCATACAGATTTTGCTTTATGATGGTACCTTATATTGATGCAAATGTAAATGGATTAATTAGCGTTCGAATAAGCACGCTGGACGAATACTAAATTATACTTACATATGTAAGTCGATTTAATATCATTAACGTTCCCTTAGACACAATGACTACTACATTTGTATCTAATTTGTACCTCTATGCATATATATATATATATATATATATATATATATATATATATATATATATTAGATTTGAAACGTAAAATGACATATTATCTCCTGCAATAAGCGTACGTGAAAAAAAAGAATTTTACTTTCATTTCCGTTATTTCATACAACCGTGTCGTGATCTTTTCCCTTTTTTATGTTTTTTATTTTTTTATTTTTTATTTTTTATTATTATTTAATTATTATCTGATTTTATATTATTATAAATTCGTAAAATAATTTTAATTAATTCAATTAGATCTCATTTGATTATGATGATAGTAAAAGATAAATATATAGATCAAAGTTTTATTATACGATTTACTATATATTTTTTGTTGTTATTTTATTCAAATTACATATTCATATGTACAAATCCGTGTGATTATTATTTTACGATAGTAATAATAATACACGTCTCGTATTTACTGTTACACAGTACCTTTCTCTTCCGTTTAGAAAGGATAGTATTACCGTTGCAACACGCGACACTATAATACTTATGCTAATATCGAACGAATCGAACGTATGTACGCGAATCATCATGATTTATTGATCATTTCACATCTTATAGATAAATAGATAAATAAATAAGTAGTAATTAAAATACGATAAAATAAATCCTTCTGTTGTTTTTTTTTTATTTTTTTTTTTTTGAATACGGTAGCTGATTCGTTGATACTGAAATGAAATCGTACGGTACGTCGGAGACACGAATATTTTTTTTTTTTTTACGAATGATTATTTATTTTACTCGTAAGATGCGCATGGATTAGCATTATATTTGAAATCTGTGTCAAGGAGATAGAAAAGAGGAAAGAGAAACACAGAGAGAACATTTTCTATTCGATTATTTTGTAGATATTTAATAAAAATATTAATGATGCATTTTAAAAAAGAAAAAAAAACAAAAAGACAAACAAATGAACAAGTTCTGTCCTATTCCCCAAAAAAAGTAGCATTAAGAAAATTTAAAATCTCTAACACGTTTACATATGAAATATTTGTACACGTTTTTCGAATATAGAATTACTACTTTTTCGTCAATATTAAATGCAAATAATGTAATATATGTTACAATATGTATGTATTTTATTTCATCAAAATTATAGTGTCATAGAAATAAAGTATCCCAACAACTAAACACTTCAGTCAATAGTATTAAACACTCAAAGGGTTATTTTAAAATTATGGAAATAAATGTAAGAAATATTTAAAATGAAAATTGTGGTGTTACACATAAGTCAAACATTGTTTTAATAATTCAAACACGTATCAAGAAAGAGAGTTAAACAACTTCCATCTTAAGAGACATTTAAAGAAGCAAAATTAAACACGTAAGAATCCTAAAATGGTATTGAGTGGGGCGGGGCATGGATAAGGTTGCAAGAAGAGCAAAAGGATAAATGCGATAAAGACCTGAGCTCGACGGAAACGATTAAATGAAGACCGTGATAAACGAACTTGTTGTGTAACCTTGCATTCTTACGTAATGTCAGGTAATAACACGTGAAAATTACTGAATTTAAGCGGAATTCCTACATCACCCACGACCGTGCGAAGCTTTCAACTTACTAATGCTATACATATATACGTATATGTATAACTTAACTCTATTCACGAAGGATTAAATTTTTAAACGATTAGAATGATAATTTATTCATTAGGATACTTCATTAGGATACTACGAAGAAATTTCATTGAGAAATTTTGGATATTTTGGATAAATTAATTTTCTTTTTCTTCCAATGGAGGTCACACAGTTGAATAACTCTTTCTTTTTCAAAAGATTCATGCAAATTTGTAATTTAAAAAAAATATTATATCCTCTTCGCCTAATAATAATAATAATAATAATAATAATCAATCACACTTTAAAAGTAAACAGATGTAACATCTAAAAATCTTCCATCAACCAACATTCGTTATGCAATATAAAATCTTCAATTATTTAAATAAAAATGAGACAAATCGGAATGATAAGGAAAAAAAAAAGTTAATTTATTCATAGTTATATTCAAGGTTTTGTAAACATTTTCCATGCATAAAATAATCCGATAATGTATTCTATGAATCATTTAGATAGACTTTGAACTATACTATATTAAGAATTATATATTAAAATGACAAAACCTATGAAAGAAAATTTAGTAAATAATTTAATGATATATCATAATTGTCGAATTTGATTTTAGGTGAAATGGCAGTATTATATTTATATATGAGATATAGATACAATTGGAATGAAGTTAAGTTTAGTATGTGGTCAACATATGGTATGGTGACCAATCTTATTGGTAAGATTATATTTCAAAATTTAATTTCATAGTATTTTATCAATAATATTAATACCAAACAAGATGATCTTACGTAAATAACAGACAGGTGTTATTAAAAAGGAATAACAAGTAAAGCAATTAGTTATTGTTCGAATTAATCGTGGTAATATGTAGTTACATTAAGAAGAACAATGTTCTTTTTTTCTTTTCTATTTGGTTTCTTTTTCTTTATGTGGAAAAAATATTTTCAAACGATAATTATATCGATCATTTATAGATTAAAATGTACATTTGAAATATGCAACGTGTATATTAAATTTTATCGATGATTTTTACAGGAACCACATTATCCGTTGGTGTTTTTAGTTATATACTCAAGGTAGACGATGCTATAGTTGGAATAATGAGTTGTATGAGTAAAATATTAGCTAGTTTCGTATATGCATTTGCAACGACCGATTGGATGATTTATTTAGGTAAGAGAAATTATTTCAATTCGTTTTTCTTTTTTCTTCCAATTGTATATGATGAGAGAAAAGATGAGAGATAAAGAGTGCGTGTGTTGGATGTTGGGAAATGCCCTTATTTGGTGCGTGCGCCAGTGAATGTGAATGTGTGTGTGCGAGCGCGTTTTATAGTATTTGAAATGTGACACCATTTGATAACATTGCTTTGTGCATTATGAATGCGCCCAAGTCTCCCAAATATTCCCAATCCGGAAGTTTCGAAAGATCCAATCTTTAGCTTATCAGGAATAATCTTGACAATTCGAGAAGGTACACAGGAAATAGCAAGGACCAATGGTGGGGGATGATAGGTAGATAAGGACGACGAAGGCAATTAACGGGCGCTATAGATGCTTACTCTTCATATTCTATCTCTTACTTATTGTTATATTATTTCTTTAAATCTATAAATAAATAAATAACTTTTATTATATTTGTATATTTTATTTAGGTGCTTTGGTTGAAATAGTAAATGGAACATCATTTATTGCAATGCGATCTATTGCTTCGAAATTAGTACCATCTGATGAACTTGGTAAGTGGATATATATGATTATTATTATTATTATTATTATTATTATTATTATTATTATTATTATTATTATTATTATTATTATTATTATTATTACTAAATAAAAATAATAAATAAAATAAAATAAATAAAAAAGAAAATATAAAATAAAAAGAAAATAATAAAATATAAGAACATATATAATAATATACATATATATATATATATATATATATATATATATATATATATATATATGAATTATATGTGCATATAATTCACTTCCTATTTCTTTCTTATTAACATGATACACACTTGCAGACATAATGTTACGTAAAATGAACGTAGAATGAAAGTAGATTCAATCGTTTCCTAGTTGTTACAAATATACAACATCTCACTTTCACTCTTACAATACTAAATAGAATATATTATATAACATACACACATATAAGCACATGTATAATACCATTGAAATTCTTCCGTTTCTTTAGAGATAATCCTTAGTTATTTACATGACTGACTTTAATAATCAACTAGGAAACTTCGTACTATCAAGTAGTTTCTCTTTATAGATTTTCTTGGTAATACTAAAATGAAAAAAAAAAACAAAGAAAATATTAAAAACTTAAAAGAAAAATAATATACGCGATTATTATTTCATAATTTCCATTTGATCATTTTAAGAAATAGTTTAGTTTCTACAAGAAAAGAAAAGAAAGAAAAAGAAAAAAAAATTAAGTATCCAACGATTTAAAATCATCGTAATTTAAAAATTAACTCGAAATATCGTTAAAATAATGTCGTCGTTCTTGGAAGAACGGAGTAAATCGGATAATCTCGTAAGATTTTATCAAGCGTGTATATCAACACGCCTAACATAGCAATTTTCCCACCAACTTTTTCTTCATAGTGAACGAAGTCTAATGAAGTCTTTCCTGCTGCTGCTTGTCTTTGCCCTAATAACTGTGAACAATTTTTACAATAATATCATTTTTTCTTTTTTTTTTCTTTTTTTATACATTGACCAAGTAGCAATAAATCAAACGTATTGTAATTGAAAAATAATTCGAGATTATTTTCAGGCAAGGTTAATTCGTTATTTGGCGTTTGTGAATCATTGATGCCATTGGTTTACGGACCCATGTATAGTTCTATTTATGCCACGACCATGAATACATTTCCAGGAGCATTTTTCATCGTCGGTGGTTGTATGACTATACCAGCTGTTTTCGGTTTCTTGTAAGTTTTCATTTTATTTCTTTCTTTTATCATCAATTTCTCTCTTTTTTTTTTAATTTGATAAATAAAATTGGAAATATATTATAAATACATTATAATGTAAATAAGTAATATATTATATGATGTATAATATAAATTATTAATTATTATACATCTCGAATTAAGAAAATCTTGTTAGAAAAATAAAATTATAACGTAATTTTGATCGTAAATCAATAATCGCAATTAAAAATAATACTTTATAATTAATAATTATTTATACGTTTAAACAATTTGTGATCAGATGGCTTTACTCGGAACACAGAAAAGATCGAATAGAATTGGAAAGAGAAACTAAAGCTAAATTAAACGACAAAGAAAACGATGAAAAAATAACGAAAGTGTTAACCATAAGTGAGATAAATGAAAGCTGTGCTAAGAACGGTATCGAGAATATGGCATTTGAAACTGAACACCTATAACGTGAATTGTATTTAGTTGTAATGAAGGTTTTATGTAATGTTCAAACGTACAATCAATCAGTGGATATAAACAAATGTTCAGCTTATTACGAACAATATATAATAAAAAAAGAAAAAAAGAAAAAATTGTCCTTGGTAATAAGAAGACAGATACACACCACATACGTAGGGAAGAAATAAAACGTAAGAACAACTCGAGACGATTTTGTCATTCGAGTAAAGTAAGTTAAATGATTAAAGTTGGCCAAGAAAATGTAGGACTAATTCAATAGGAAAATTCTAGAATTTCATTTCAAGGTGTTGTTACTTTTAAGTAGTACGATTTTTCTTAAGAGATCTAATGTGTGTGTGGATTCTCATTTTATTATTATTTAAACAAAAAAACTAACACAGATATGGAAGTATTATACAATGAGTTGAAACACGATAATAATGTTCATTTGATAAATACAATTTAAGAAATTATCAATGTTTATCGCTTAAATAAAAATAGAAAGGTAATATAATAATGAAATCGATTATAGAATTATTATTATTATTATTATTATTATCACTATTATTGTTATTTATAATTTGTTTGAATTCATTTTGTCAATTTATTTCCAAAAGATAATATATTTCTTGAAATAGTAATAGGACTCATATTTTTTCGTGAGACGTATTTTTTTTTTTTTCTTTTTAAGTAGAACAACAAAGACAACAAAATAATATACAATTATAAAACAGGAAGCTCATTTTGCTTTTATATAATTATTATATGAAATTGTAGCCATTAAATAAAATGGTTACTTAGATGGTGGTTAAGATTTAATAATAGAGACAATATTAAGATTATTATATATATATATATATATTATAAAGCATTACTTTACAAATGCATTTATTATCATTTTAACATTGACTCTACCTCAATATTAACAAACAAAAAACTACACAAAATGCTAATTAAATAAATGAGCCTATTAATAGTAGATAATAGAACGTAATAAGATTTAATTAACGAAACAGAAGTCACACAATTAATAATTGTTAAATGTAAAATATGATAATTATTCACACACAAGTGGTAGGGTGCCAAAATTAATGATAAATATGCGTAAGAATATGTTTTATTTAAATACACACATCAAAAAAAGCTCTGTATTACTTCAGTTTAAAGAGTTCTGGAACTTTTATATACAAATGGAATAGAGATCAACACAAACAACATTTCAGCTCTTTTTATTGCTCATGAAAACCACATCTATGAACAGTCAAGGTCTACGTTCAGGAAATCTTGGAACCGATGCAAAACTTTGGTTGATATGTGTATTAAAAAACTTTTAATTCATTGTTAATCTAACTAATACGAATTCCGAACCTAATATTTGTTAATTAGTAAAATAATAACATTTAATTGTCAACGAGAACTATATTTTTTAATGTAACAATACAGAAACACAGTTTAGTAAGAACCCTTATGAAAAAAAAAAGGAATTTAGTAGTGAATGTTAAAATAGGATTAATTTTTGGTACTTAAGAAATTACAAGGAGACAATTTAAACAAATGAAGTAATATCAAATCACATGCAGCAGCCAATAGTTTTACAAAATAGATATTGTTTATTCAAAAAATAATATAAAAACATTCATTTTCTAAATACCCTCCACTTCACCCTACCCCTAACCTCAAATATTAAGTGGCAAGAAAGTTAAACTATATTTTAACATAAATAATATGTATCGAAATACGAATTAATTTAATAATAAAAATAAATTAAAATAAAAAAGAAATTAAAAAATAATCAATAATATAACAAACTCTGTCTTACCGACCGATGCTGTTAAAAAAATCAAAGAATTCTACTTTATCGACGATACACAATGCTACTACACAACAACACAAAATAAATTAAGCTTACAATTTTCATTGAAAGATCGCGTAAGTGTGAATTGATGAAAAACTATATACTGTATATACTGTCTGTAAATACTTCAACTTTCAATGGTCGTGTTAAATGTAATAATGATACCATCATAGTACACCTCTCACTCATCGTGACGCCGCGTACTGCTGTGTGTGGTGTTTGGTTAAAAATTCGAATATATTGAACTTTGTACATTATTAGGTTGATATCTAAGGTGAATCATATAAAGATTATTAATATATTTTTTTTGTTATTTTCTCTTAAATATAATCAAAATCTAATAACACACATTGGTGAAATTAATTGCACGTATACGGAGTGTTCACTATTTACAATTATTCTAATTATATTTCTTAGAACAATTAAGGAATATAACCTCTGACCAAGAAACTAGTTTTTGAAAGAGGGTATATATTTAATTTTGATTTCCTTTTTTTTCTTTGTGATTGAACATACGTTTTGTACTTTATTTCCTAATTTTTCTTATTATTTTTTTGCAGTATTTCTTTAAATCATAAATCAATTCTTATTGTCTTTATTCTTTAGTTATCTTTGAATCTTGCCTTCTTTCTCTACACTTCTAATATTACTACTACACTATATTACTACTATATTATTATTATAACAGTGCCATTATACGAAGAAAGAAGAGTGTTACAACAAGTATTTGTATTGTGTCGAGCAGTGAAAAACGCTCGACGATCAAAGGTGAGTTCTCATTAACGAAATTTTGTCTCCTTAATCATATATATATATATATATATTTTTTTTTTTATTTTACTTTCTCTTTTTTTATATTTTTTTCTTATTTTTTGTTTGTTTTTTTATCATTTTTTATTGTATGACGATAACCTACTAATTTAATCTCTTCATTGATTTTTTTATCTATTGTGATATCTTTATCACCTACCCTAAGTAACAATTATTTTGATATATATTTCGTTACATTATAGGATATATATATTCTTTCATTATATTATTTAAATTTAATTTATTATTTGCAAATATACATGTACTAACTTCTATTTTTGCTGCTAACTAACCTCGTCCAATCTTCTCAACATCCAAAACAATCTATTTCTAGATTGGTATCCGGTTGTTATTTTTTTTTTAAATTTTAAATCACGCGCATGCGTAACAAATAATTGCTCATTTAGTAATCTTAATTTATACTATGTTTATTGAATTACGACTTTTGTATTCATCTATCTTCTTCGCAGAATATTAATTAACTATTCAAAGTTGATTTAAACACTTTTTATTATTGACCTTACGAAACATAAAAAAAATAAAAAAATGTCTATTGAAATTTACTACTTGCCAATTGTACTCTTCAATAAATTATCGAAGTATTGTCAATAATATCCAACATGCAACAACACAATTTGCAATCAATACAATTTGCAATTTTTAATCTTTATATTTATAAATGAGCTCAAAATGGAAAAAAAATTAACTTTTTCTTTTTTTTTCTCATGACATTTCCATCTGTTGCTTTTTAAAAAACAAAATTACAAGTTATGAAACAAGGACAAGTATAATAATAAAATTACATAACTGTACGATGGATACAAATTTCCTGCATGACTTGAAACAGTGAAAAAAAAAAAATAAAAAAAGATATTAAATGATTTTATATATTACTTGTACAATATTTTAACAATAATAGAAATATATGTGTAAAAAAAGGAAACTTGATGTGAAGAAAAAGGAATAATCCACAAGAATATTTTCGATTGTTTCTTCCTTTTAAAATACTAAGAATAGAAAGGTGTTTCTATTTAAAATTTATTTCGAATGAATTTAATTTTATGCACATTAATGAAGGAGAAAACAAAATGTTTATTCATTTAAAGCAAATTCAGAACATAAAAAAAGAATCTAGATTAAATTCAATAAAACTCTATAAACACTATATATTATTGATATTAACTATATATATAATATAATATCATCAATCACGTTATTATAAGGAGAAAAAAAAATCAATACTATTTAGTAACAAATGAAAATAAATCGTAGCAATGATTCCACGAATTATTCCATTATTTATAATTACAATGAACTATAATATGACTCAAGTTATTCCCAATTGCTAACTGAGATCATCAAAATTCTATAATTATCTATCGTACGATTTCTTTTTTATTATGTGAATAGAACAAAACCACGATATAAGAAACGCTTTGAATGAAATATTTCGATTGGTTTTTCATTAATAAAACTAACTATAACTCACACGAGTGAGTTATTAATTAAAAGATCAAATTTATATATAAAACATAAAACATCAAAGGAATGTTTCGAAGAAATTCATGACTCGTATAATTCCTTATAACTTTTAACCGTATGAATTACTTTTAATTCACGATTTAATTCAATTAACCTTTGCCCTATGTTAAATCGTCATTAAAATGGCGACAGTTTAAACCATCGTTGAAACTTGTTACATGTTACAAACAAACACACTTGTTGCAAGATTCTTACTACCTTTTTGCTCTCAATATCTGAATAAATGTAATAATACTATTGTATTATTTTATATTGTTGCTTTTTAATTTTAATTTAAAAATACGGCTTTTTTTCTTTACTTTAATCGTTTTATTTTTCAATGCAGTTGAAAGGGATGCTACCAAAATGTACCTGGATCATTGTTAATCTTTTCATATGCGCCATAGCAACTTCATATGGCGATCATGCGAAACCAACCATAGAATTAACGGAACTTGGTTACGAGGATACTTGCAATGATACTTCTACTGCCGAATGGTCATTCATCAATTCGTTCAAAAATCAAACAATTTATACGATATGGGTTAGTCAAAAGTTTATCTCCAAAAATATATTATTTTCCCTTTTTATTTGGCCCCTTTTTCTTAGCTTTAATCCAATCAAGCAATTATTTTTAACTACGAGTAATTTAAGTACACATTCCATAACGTATTAGGGCCACGGCAAAAATTCACATTTTTTTTTCCTACTTATACAAAATAATAATAAATATTTGTTATAGGTTGAAAAACAAATACAATATGGAAACTACAAAAAAAGTCAAAAAGAAGAAATAGTCAGTATTTCGGAAATAATATCGGAAAATCCTTCACTTGCTTACAAATATAATATTATTGAAAAACCTGGCGATGCTTTACTAGATGAACAAGATTTCAAAGAGGTATTATTTTTCATTTTTAATTATACCTAAATATTTCATATAACTTTTACTTATACTTATACTTATACTTATAATATCATTTTTCGTTTATATATAAATATATACAGCTAGTGCAGTTTTCTAGTAGTGCTGAAGTTTTACGATCATCCGTTAAATATATTGATAAAACAAAGAATTATACGAGAGAAGGTAATGAAATTGTTCATCATTCAATTAGAAATAGAATTATATATAATAATAAGAAAAATGTCTTTCTACCTTTTTGCAGATGTTGACCGATTACTATCGCATAACGGACTTGAGAAAGATAAATATGATGCATGGAAATCTTGGCACGAAGGATTGAAACCACTCGTTGGAAACTTTTCCAAGATTTTACATCTCGTTGATAAAGCTGCAAAAGCGAATGGTTCATTTTCAATTGTCAAATGTGCATAGCATGATCAATTATTTCTATATTCTAAAACAAAACTATTATTATTATTATAGGTATCAATAGTGCTGTAGAATATTGGGAAATGTTATCAGGATATCCAGAAGGTTACGAACAAATCAAATCGCAATGGAACGGAATTTTGAATCTTCATAAAAATATTTTAGAATTTTCTCGAAATCATTTGTCACAAAAGTATGGAATTAATTTAACCGATACCATACCAGCTCATTTACTTGGTACATATTATACAATACTTATATATAATAATTCATATTTATATTATTAATATTATCGAAAATCTTGTTATATTTTCAGGATCGTTGCAAGGATACGAATGGAGTACTTTTTCGTTAGATGTATCACCATATTCGGAAATAACATTTGATATAAGAAAAAATTTATGGAGAAAAGTAAAATATGTTTTTAACATTAATATGTAATATGAAATTATATTAGTCGATACGATTTATATATTTTTAATAATTAATTTTAGTTTATTTTTAAAACGTTATGTTCAAATTCTACAGAAACTATTAGGAAAATCATTATATAAAGCGGCATCTAATATGGGTAGTATATTATTAGGTCAAGTACCGCAATCTACTTTTTGGAAAAGAAGTCTATTTTATCAGCATTGTCCGCCTAAGCTAATAAACTTTTGTAAATATGGGATTACACAGTAAGAAAATTGATTTATATACCATCATATTATACTCAAACAAATTTGTACGAGTTCTTACTAGAAGAAATGACTAGTTATTATATATATATATCATACTATAGTAATAATGAAATAACTTGCATTTTAATTTTAGAATATCCACTTGTTTCGAGCCAACTATCGCAAATTATATTTTAACCCATAAAAATATCGGTAAAGTTTTGTTTCAACAAATGTCTGTTGAAAGTACTCCAATTCTCAACACGGCTAACAGATATTCTGGTAATTATTTATAATATGCTTTTAATATTATTCATTGAAATTAATTGACAAAATCAAATTATTAATTATAATACAATATTTTGAAACATAGCTTTGGAAGAAGCCATATCCGAATTGTTTGGAATTTTATCTGCTAGTCCTGTATGGTTACAACGTAATCACTTAATTTATAACGTAAGCGATTCAGACCAAAAAATAGTTTCTTTGATGATTACCGCATTAGATCTTTTGCCACGATTAGCATACTATATATCTGCAGATTTATGGAGAATCAATGCTATAGAAAAGAATATTACAGATTCAGCGGAATTAATAAAAACTTGGTGGGAATATAGGTATGTTATAATATATAATATAATGAAATAATATCTTAATTATTATTTATTTCTATTATATATAGGTCAGAATATGAAGGAATTAGTAAACCCGAATCTGCTGATGTGCCAACATTTTTAAACGATGAATATATTACAAGTAATAAACCATATCTTTCGTAAGTAATATTACAATAATCTCTTGTGTGATTATATTAAAAAATAATAATAATAATAATAATAATAATAACATTATGTTGATTGTAGTAAATTTGTTGGAATACTTCTTGGATTTCAAATTTATGAAGATATTATGAAATCAACTGAAGTTAGATACGATATTAGTACAAAAAAAGTCTATTCAAATTTAATGTATGTATATGATATATCAATTATTAATTAATATTTCTAACGATCAATTAAAATATTGAATATTGTTATGTTCAGAAAAGTAATTCATAAAGGATCGGCAGAAAGTTGGATGGATGCGTTGGACAAAGTTCTTGAAATAGACGATATATCGAAATATTCTCTTACGTCCTTTTTCTCACCGTTAGAAAGTTTTATCGAAGAAATGAACGAGGAAGAAAATGATCATAATTTGAAGTCCAATGGCGAAGCTGAACTCGAAAAAGTAGAACGAATGATTATCGAAGAAATGAATGCACCAACCACAACGCCGACTAGTACTACAACGACAAAGAAAATCCAAACGACTACGTTATCAATAAAGAAGAAATACGTAACGGATAAATCAAATGATTTGTCAAAATCTAAGGAACCTTTAGATTCTGATTTATCTTCTAACATTCAAGCTGATAAACCAAAAAGTGATACGGATTCTGTAACCGTAAATCCTTTTGAAAAATCATTTGACTTTAGTGATTTAGAAAACGAAGAAGAAAAAAAACCAAAGACGCATACCAGCAAAGCAGTATGGATTGTTGCAGCTGTTCTCATCGGAACTATTATTATTTGTATTATTGCGATATTTGGTAGACAAAAATGTCGCAAAACATCCAAAAATAGGCGCTACGTTTAATAATATTAGAACATTTGTTTTCTTTTCTCGCATTTAGCATGTAAGTATCTTTTTAATCACGTATAATTTATTTCTCATAAAAAAGAAAAGAAAAGAAAAAAATCTATTCGCTTTTATAGATTGAATTTTTAACTTTTGAATAATTTCGTACGCAAACACATTCCTCAATTGTTATTTTTTTTTGTTTTTTTTTTGGGTGTTTTTGTTTTCTAAAAGAAAATTTTCAAGATTTATTTTTCAATTCTTTTATCAAATATTTTGTTTACTTTATGCGATCATCAAAATGTGCAACTTCTGACAAGATAAATATCTGGAAATGATATATGTTCGCAAACTATAATTAACCGATACACAACAGGCTAATCAATGCTAAAAAATACAACGACATCAAATTTAGAACTCCGAGTTAGTATCTATTTCTCAATAACATCATTTTATTAGCAAGTTTATAATTTATTTATAATATAGATTTTTTGTTTTTAATTCTAATTAAGAATTACTGAAGTATATTCACATGTAGTTCTTATATATTTTAAGGGGGTATTCTGGTCTAGAGGCATGAATTTTAGGTACTTTTTCAAGTGTAGTAACAAAAAATCGAATAATATTTTCACTATCTATAATATTACAAAATATTCATTAATATTTCGAGAATACATAGAATTAAAAAGTGTGAAAAAATTCAAAATTGAAAAAGATATAGGCTGATGAAGTGGGAGGTCCCAAAAAAACGGCGCGCGACAAATGTCAAGATTGTAGCTCTCCTGGTAATATGAAATAAAAAATTACAACGGATTATTACTTAAGAATAATGCCGCTATCGTTCGAACTAAAAGAATTGAAAAAAGTTTTTTTTTTCGCTAAATTACAGCTGTTTGAAAAAAAGATACATTATTTTTACCACTTTTTTTTTACTTTTCCGAATTTTTTTAAAATAGTAAAAATTGACAATTTTGTAAGATTTTAATTTACACGATAGAAAAATGCATAGAGAAGACTCTCACCAAATTTCAAGCAAATCGGTTTAGTAGAACATGAGATATCTTGACATTTGTGAAAAAAAAAAAAAACAGTTTCGAGAAAAACGCGTTCAAAGTTTCGCGTAATAAGGGTAGGATATAGGATACCGCGTCACTAAAACAGTTATATCTCCAAAAATAAATTGAATTTTGAAAAATCCTCTTGAGGACATATTTTTAATAGGTTAAGCTTTGAAAATATGAAAAAAAAAAATCGATTTTTTCAAATTTCTAGACCAGAATACTCCCTTAATACATCAGTTCCTCTATAGAAGTCATTCTATAAGTATAGTTACATATATTAAATATTTAAGAAAGAAAACGCACAGTATATTTTAATATATTTGTAAACTTTGTAAATAACCACTAGTACGATATAAGGATACTAGTAGATAAAAAAGGAAAGGGTATAAATGACTATTTCTAAATAGAATATCAAAAATAACTACTTTTTAGATTCTATACATTTTTTTCCATAAATTTCTAAATTGTGTAATATTTAAAAATTATAATTTATTCGTAATATACAACTTTTAGAGGATTTATATTTTTTATATAATTATTTATTTTCTATCGAAAAAATTGAAAATAAAAATGAAAAGTATTAGTATTTAATTGTTATTTATTGTTAATTTTTTTGCCAATATTTTCTACACAGTTTAAATCTTTACAAAAAAAAAAAAGTTTGTTTCTACATTTTTCAATTACAACTATCTACACTAATTGCAATCTATTTGCGATTTAAAAAAGAATCAAAGTATAGGAAGAAGTAGAGAAGTTCCGGTTTAAAAGCATCAAAGCTAGGAAAATCAATATAAAGCCGTCTTGTAGTCGCGACACTATTTCGTGCTACTTTTAGTAGAAGATAAAATAAAGTACGAATATATCGAAATAATAGTCAAATTGAAATAAAACAAGACAAAAGCAATCTTATCTTTTGTTAAATAATCATTCATTAAGATAAAAAATACAATATTTCATTTTTCTTTAACTTTTCATTCTAACTTTTTTCTCTAGTATATAGTTGACATTTTTGCCACACACACACATACACGCAAATAAATTTAAATTAAATTAAAAGAAAAACAAAGAAAAAAAGACAAATATTATTATAATTTTCAATCAAAATTTACCAACAGATGCTATACCTGTTATTTATTACATATAAGAAATATAAGTTTACGCGCGCGGTATAATTATTAATTTTAAAATGAAAGAAAGACAAATATTTTTTATATTTTACACTATTCTATTTTTCTCTTTAACAAGAAAAATCATTGTAACTTTTGTAACGTTGTAACCAAGAAAATAACAAAATATATGAAAGGGTCCAAATTTAAGGGAAGAAAAATGTTGTTTCTTTTAGTTACAACGTTACAAAAGTTACCGTAATTTTTGTCGTTATAGAAAAATAATATATATATATATATATATATATATATTATTTTGAGAATAATCGTAAACCACCCCTTCTTCAGTTGGGGCCGAAACATCATCAACCCGAAATCTAGGCATGCGCATTTGGTATTATAACAGAGGGTTGTTGCAGTCAGGGAGGGGCTCTCTCTCTCTCCACCTCTCTTCAGAATTACTCAGAGAGAATACACGTTCTCGATAACATTTCCCCGGTGCACAAATTTTTCTTTTCAGAGTTACACTGTCCGGTGAATAATTCAATAATAATAATAATAATAATAATAATAATAAAAACCTATACACAAGCAAAAAAAAGAAAAAAAGAAAAAAAGATAAAAAGTGAAAAAGAATCCTAAGTCAGTGAGAAATAAAAACAAAAAAAAAAAACAAAAAAAAAACGTTTTGCGAAATGTTATCAATATGTCGTATAATTTGTGGAAGTGAGTGTTTCGTGAATCGACTGTCAGCTGTATTTAAAACATGAACGTTAGTATACCAAGATTTTTCCCCTCTCTCTCTCTCTCTCTCTCTCTCTCTCTCTCTTTCATCTTACCTTCTCTGATATCGACTGGTTCTACTTGCTGGGTTTTATCATGTGGGCGTTTCTGTGTCCTTGTATATGTTTAAGATTCATGAGAATAATAAGTAAAAATAAGTATTACTTTTTTTTTTAAATAAATATATTTAAAAAAATTTATTTATTACGTCAATACAAATGTAATTCAATTTTATTCATTTTTAATTTTCAAATTCATTACGCTGTTATTCTTCTTCAGAGATGTGTGTAATCAAGTTTTGGAAGATTATAATTTATTGTTTTGTTATGATTTAAATTTTGTTTTATTTGAATAGTTTTATGTACGTAATACGTCGTTGACCCTTGAAGACTGAAAATCGATGAGAAGGTTACCTTTAATCTCGTCACCGACGTGCGCGCCTTTTAATGTTACATTCAGTCAGAATAATTTTGAAAATTGAAGATGACGTGGTGGTTTAGTTCGTTCATTTATTTCCTTTCTTTGATTTTGACTTTTTCTCTATATCTCTATCTCTATTTTTTTCTATCTTCTTTCTTTTTTACGTTAATCTATAGAAAATTAAACGATAGTATCATTGAATGCATAGCATGCCAAGAAATATTAAAAATCGTTAGATTCATAACGCGCAATATGCGTTTTATCGATTACAATGGTATTATTTTTTAGATAAGAAATAGATTTTTCAATTATTCGATCTTAAGTAAAATGCATTAACTTTTTATATAATGTCTTATTTATTAATAGAAATTTCATGGAAATGTTCTAATCGTACAACGACACGTAAGGACGTGTATTAATATATGTATATCAGTCAACGTTTTATCGTTCTAACGTTGTGTATAGTTATGCTTATTAGAATCTCGTGGCCTCATTTTCTTAGTACACTTAAACTTATGCAATTTCGTTACTTCTACCGGTCTCTCTTAGAGATGACTCGAGAACTATTAAAAAAAAAAAAAAAAAAAAAAAAGTATATAACAATTTATTAACAATTAAATTCATCGTATAATGTCATATTTGTTGTTTTATCAACTATCATTTCAAATATGTTTTACTTACAATGAAATTATATGAAATTGTAATAAGAAAATAGCCCATCTAACAAAATGAATCGTGACTCTTGAGTCACAAAGAGGAAATGCACTTTCTCTCCTATGATTCGTCCAAAAATACTAACCCCTCCTGCGTTTCGAGTATATAAATGGCTGAAAATAAAGCATTGATTCGCAAGCAGGAAACTATGAAAGACTTGAACTAAGAAAGAATTGAAATTACTTGAGCAAAAATAGCAAAAAAAAAAAAAAACAATATATCTGATAATTCATGCACATTACGAATGTGATCCATATACTATTTACACATATACATAATTATTTAATTTTTTGTCTAGGCCCTGACAACGGATATTGTCCATAGCAACGGTGATTTACGTATTGGTAAGTGTAAAATAATATTATTTTTATTTCAATATGATTGTTATTTATTTTTTAAATAAACAAGAAATTAAATAAAGTTTTTATAATTCAAATTCGTGACGATGGTTCTCCCTTATATAGGTGCAACAGTATTGGAAATCGATACATACAAATATATCTTTACTCATCGACGGTATTCTTATTCTAAACAGGGTCATTACAATGGCCACAAAGCATCCGTACGATTACGTTTTACCATTGGGAATATTATTATTTTTCTATTTTCTTTTTTTTTTATTTCTTTTCCTCAAACTATTGTACATTGAATCGATAAACGACACACTCTGATTCGCTATAATATAACTATACGTATCTCTTGTAATTTTTGTATTTAATAGTAATGTATGGATGATCATTTTATAAATGAAATGAACCAAAAAGAAAAAAGAAAAGAAATCTCTTATCGTTTCTCGTTAACGAACTAGTTTTGTCCTCGGCTAGTGTAGCAAAGAACCTGTATGGTGAAAATCAATAAGTGTTAAGGTCGTTGTACACTTATATAACAACTCGCGAATCTACATTTGCATTTACATCCTTCAAACGATTTGTGGAACATGCAATATCATCCTATATGCATTATTATTTACAACATTAAAGCTTCATTTAGGTTTAATCGAATATTTATTCATATTCAATTTGATAAGTGGATATAACAATAACGTCGTCGACTTTCGATTTTCATAAGAACTACGTCATCGTTATATCCGCATGACTAACGCTACTAAAAAAAAGGGCTTGTACTATGATTCTCCCTTAGCATGTTCATCCCTCTTTAGAGAAAGAAGAAGTACCTTTTCCCCCACTTCTTACTTCATTATCTATAATGCAATTGCCTGACAATTGCTGCCTTAAGAATTTATACTCCTTGTTTTAACAATGATAATATTCGAAAAATGCATTTAGGTTCTGCGAATTAATCTCTCTATACAACTCTTTTTTTATCATTTATCTTTCTCTTAGTTAGTCTTGTTCCTTGCTCTCTATTCCGGCTGTAGGGGCCAGCAAACAGCACAAACAGCAGCAGCAACAGCAGCAGCAGCAGCAGACAAACCCGAGTATTTATTAATAGAGATTAAACTCTGCGTCGTGTCGTGCCGTGTGCAAGAACTCTCCCGCGCAGGGCACACGCCGTTAGGGCAGTCTGACTCAGACCCGTGGGTCCAGAACACCATTTTCACCGAAATAAACACGAAACTTGTGTGTCTAAAGAGAACAAAATAAAGAAATAAGGAAATAAAGATAGTTGTTAAAGAGCAAACTTTAGTGTACAGAGAGAGTGTGAGAAAGAGAGAGAAATAAATAGTGAAAGAATTAGAATATTATTCCATTTCCCTTTAAATAATGCATGTAATGCATTCAATGTGAATATTATTACTTGAAGAAACTTTGATCTAGCAACATTTCAAGGAATAATAATCATTGGATTAAGTGTTTATTTATCTCATTCGTGTCACCATTTAGAGAAAGAGTGTACGGATTTTAAATAATAACAATAACAATAATATCACATATAAACATTTTTATTTCTATACTTGTACTTCCGTACAGAACTATGTTTATGTGTATGTGTGTCTAGTTTTTGTCTTTTTTGTTATTATTATTATTATTATTATTATTATTATTATTATTATTATTATTATTATTATTATTATTATAATATATAGATGTATTGTGTGTTTCATCGTGATGATGTGATGTGGTGTGATGTGGTGTATAAGTTGCATGTAGTAGTAGTGCTCATTTAAGTGCAAGTTTAGTGCATAAAACAAAGAGACGACTTAGTGCACCCACGCACTTAAAAAAAAAAAAGAACGGATACGAGAATTTTGTCTAATAGGACGACCACGGAACATTGTTTAAAATAGGTTTAAAATTCAAATCCGTTCGGTATAATCATCCTAGTCTTGGAACGGGGTAGAATTTTTGATATTTACCAGATGGTTACTTATTCGAGTTGTTACTACGTCAGCTTTTTCTTTTATCATAATCTAAACCTTAGGGCGTTGAAATTTTCATCCATCTTACGATTTTTATAGCAAAATATGAGAATATTTTTCTTCTACGAATGATTCAGAATTTTTGCTTGATAAATTAACAATTAATTTGTCGTAAAAAAAAGTCAATTACAAATTTAGTACAACGACGAAAATCCTTAGTATTATTATTATTATTATTATACTCGAACGTTCGATTTAACTCGAAACAATTGTCTGACCACTTGTTGTAATTTAAACGTTTAAACGTATCGACCGACGCAATAACTATACTCTGACAGTGTTACTATAATACCTAACATTATATACCAAATTCTCCAAAAATAGATACACTTAATACGAAAATATTATTGCATTATTATATTCTCATAAAAAGTGTCATTCAGTTAGTTTTCAATTAGGTATGAAATTTTGTACCGATACGATATCATTTACGTTCCACTTTATCATGTTTATTTTTCTATTATCGCGTTAATAATTTTCGTAGAAGCTTATTCATACAGATAAAAAATAAAATATCAATCACATAATTTCTTTCTATATTATAAGTTATAATTACTATAACTTTCCTTATAATTATTGTAATCAATTGTTTTTATTTTTTTCTTTTAAACTCGTTTAGATAAAAATTATTCAAAACGATATAATAGATAAGAACGATAAATTCTACGACGTGACGTATTATAAATCATATCGTTATTGACAATGAAGGTCACGTTACATGTTGCATACATTTCAACAACTATTATTTAACGAAGAACTACGTACATTATTATAATAACGCGTTTCTTCTTTTTTCTTCTTCTTTTTCTTTAAACACTAACGTAATAATAATAACTTTGTTTATTATTTACTTAATCCATATAAAAAAATATTTAAAAAGAGATTGATAAAAGAACAAGATTTCGATTATCTTCAACAGGAAATAGTTTCGTAAAGACATAACAGGATTTAGTATTATTAATCCCACGCGATATGGACAAACCCACAAAGACAATTAACAATAAGTATAATCGAACAAGTATAGTATATAGTAGGAAAAGATTTGATTAAGCAACATTATCATATACCGTACGAATAATACAATTAATATACACAAAATTACGATTGAATTTTCATTTTTATTCTTTTTTTCTTTTTTCTTCATCCAATTCCATTAAAATAGAAAGGACAGTAGTTAAAAAGATATAAAAGAGAGTGTAATAATGTTAGAAGAATTGCTTTGAACGAACATTCGTCGTGTATGAATGAAGTGAGAAAGAAAAAAGGAAAAGAAAAGTGATATGGAAAAAATACTTTAAAATACTTTAAAAAGTCAAAGAAGAACGAGAAAATAAGAATGATATAAAAAAAAAAAAAACAATAAACAAAAAGGGATATTTGAAAAAACGCTTTTTAACTGTGGTACACTTTGATGTACGCGAATTTAGCGAGTGGTTGAAAAGACATAAAAGGAAAGGTAGTAGTAGTAGTGTAGTAAATAACTTTAACATATGTGTATGGAGGGGTGCGGGTAACCCTATGTGATGTGATGTGATATATACACTTTTTAGTGTAAAAAAAAAACGTGTCGTGCTATGCTGTAGGAGCAGCGTTAGAACGACAAAAAAAAACAAAAACAAAGAAAAAAGACAAAATTGCAAAGATTGACAAATGATGATAGTGCTTTTGTTGTGCGTCATCATGAAGATAGCAGAATTTTCTGCTGGTCGTGTTAGTCCAACATTACAATCATCCAGACAAAAACAACGGCAAAGAAAAAAACCACCGCCCTTACAATTGTTACAACAGCAGCAACAACAAAAGCAACAACATGAACAACAAAAATCACCAACTTCCATGTCATGTCGTTTGAGACAAGATTGGAATTATTATCGAATACCATGCGATAAATGCATGTATTTTCTTCGAAGACAATGTAAGAAACCTTTTTTATTTAATCTTTCTAATTTTCTATTTACCTAAAGTCAACACATAGCTTTTATAATAATATGTCTAAATGATATCATCAGACGACGTCTAACAAAACAAAATAATATTTCAAATAAATATTAGTATTTTTATAATCGGATAAAAAGGATCAAACCATTTCAACGTTAGCTCATCTTCAAATGATTTCAAGTATAATATTCTTAAATACGCTGAGAGACAACATATGGGGAAATTCTAGACGATCTTTTTTCAACAGTTCAAATACCTCCACACACACTAACACATATGCGTTTTTCACTTTCTCTCTTTCTCTCTCGTTTTTTTTTTCTTTTTTCTTGTATGGATATGATAGACCTTGTATATATAACGAACTTCTCTCGCATACGGTTTCTTTTGCTATAAATAGAGTGGTTATTACTATTTTGCGTCTTAAAAAAAACACCCCCTTTATTTTTTCGAAGGATGGTCAAAAGAATGCTTCTTCTTCTTCTCCTTGTTTTTTTTTTCAATGTTACTCATCATATTTCAAAAAAAAAACCGGTGTATTTTATTAATAACATGAAATATTGAATAAGATAAAATGGGTTGATTAAATTTTCCAAATTCTTGTATCGTGTTTCACGCGTTGCATTTTAATTTAATTTTGCAACGTGTAGTGAAATTTGGCTGCTCTCGACCACTTATTTCCGACATTTTGCTTGACTCTAAAATTATCCTACTCCCCTCGACACTGTTTTCGTGAAGAAAGATCGGTTAGTTTTTTTTTTCTTTTATTTATTTTTACTTAGGATGAAAAACAAATAAATGTTCATTGCCGTAAAATTGAATCATGAAAATATAATTAAAATTGCATGATATTTTAATCGAATTAATATTGTAAGCACGTGCCAACACCAAAAGCGTAGGTCGCGTATATTCGAACAACAATACATCATATGCTGAATAATGAAAAGAAAAAGGAAAAAAAAAAGAAATAGAAAAAAGGCCAAGGTTACTCCCATAATACGAACATTGGAAAAACATATTTTAATTAGTTATTAAAGGATTAAATTAACCATCGTTGTACGAAACAATTGAATAATGAACAACATGTGCACCACTTTAACTCAAAGTATAACAGCATCTGATACTTTGCCTCATATTATGCAAATTATGCATATTAGTTTATTATAACATGAAATTAAGAAATAACAAAACTTTAGAAATATTTCATAAAAATAAATAGGATGATATTTATGGAACAAAATGTGCATATAATTCATACGTAATGACGTTCTATGATCATTGAAACAAGAATCAAAGCTTCGATCAAGCGAAACCACTTAAGTCTTTAAAGCCGACAGAACATACATAATCATATATATATATATATATATATATANATATATATATATATATGTGATATATATGTATATATGTATAGAGTATTGGTATATACATTCGATTGTATCCGACTTCCATTTGCTCACCCTTTACATTCAATCCTACAACGCACATGCGCCGCATGAGCGATCATGCTACTCCATAGGCGCAGTTAAAATGAATTTTCTAACAGTAGTGTGTAAGTGACAGGCAACTCGTCACCATATGGTCGAATAAAAATGGGTGGTGTTTTCGGTTAGCATTTATCGCGTGTAAATACTAAACGCAAAACCAATTAGCCGCGGCCACGGCATGATATGGATTACAATTTCTTCAGGTACATGTATAATAATTTGTCCATTCTACATTTTTTATTTATCTTCTAATTTTTTTTCTTCAATTAAAATAAATTAATAATCAATTATATTGCCCATATGAATTACATAATTCGTTTTTGTTTATTATTTCATTATATAAATATTAATTATATTTATTAGGGAATAATTATAATTATTGATTATTAATTATTAGATTGTAATATACATAGGACAGCTAAAGATAGTAAACTGCTTAAGAGAGTTGACGTCACAAATAAGGATTGATATTTCCGGCTTACGAATGGCGCATATATTTTGACTTCTTTTAAGTTCTTACTGAGCCATGACAAATACACCGTGACAAATACATCGTGACAAATATTTATATACAATGAATACAAAATGATAACATACAGAAAGCTTTCTATTTCGTTCAAACAAAAATGTCACAAGCGATACGATAAAAGAAATATTTTTACAACAACAACAACAACAACAAAATACGTTAATTAAAAATTATATTCCCATATTAAATGTAAAAATTACATATAAACAAAATTAAGTACTTTTCGTATATTCAATTGCATTCAAATGCAAATACTTTTAAAATTGGCGCGCGAAACGTATATCTGTTCGTTCTGGCCGATAATTGGCCAAGTACCGTGATGACGTCACTACTGCCATACCTCTATATTATCGTAATGGGCGGGAAGGAGGAGAAAAAAGTAAGAAACGTTCTTCTTATCAGTGTTTCGTCGTTGGTATTGTCGATTCGGAGCAGAAAAGGAGCGTGTGATCATTCCGATCGTGACCTTAAAAAGATATGTCGTTCATCTTTGTCGTTAAGCGAACGAGAAATCGATTGAACGTTAACCATGTAAGGAGAATCGACGCATTGTAATCCGATCGCTGCTGCTGCTGCTTAACGCAGAGAGGTGTATATTGCGAAAGAACAAATATTTTTGTTTTCTCTCTTTTTTTTTTTTAATTTTCTCAAGCGGTGCTTTCATTTGTCAAGATTTTTCCCTCTTCTCTTTTTCTTCTTTTTTTTCTCTTTCAAAACATGTCATTAAATTAAACACATTCTTTATGGTGAGTTACTTATTTGTTTTTACGAACAATATAATTAACGTTCTTCTTAATTAATTAAAAGCAACAAACAAAAATATATCTATTTAAAATTGATTAGTATTCGATGCACCAATGACAGATCAGTACTAAATGTGACTAGATAATAATCACAAGCAATCTAAAGCAATTCTTTTCAAAGTAATAATAATAATAATAATTATAATATTAATAATAATAATAATAATAATAATATGAGAGAGGAATATTAAATAACACAAATGCGATGGAAGTTTTTCTCGGAGATAATTTGATCATTGACAAAGTAATCTTTTTTATATAGTAAACATATTCATTTTAATTATATAGGAATGAAATTTATTTTGATTCTATGTAAATTTTAAATGAATTATTCTATATGATTATAGGTTATTTGTATCAATTGTTTTTCTTAAGCAACGTCAAAGACGCTTTATTTTAATTATCGTTAATCAAGATTAAGTGAAGAATGAAGTTTCCTTTTTATCTCCAACATTCTTTCGCGATGACGATTGATACGAATTAAAAATTTATAACGTATATGTATGTGCAAAATAACAATTAATTTTAATAACGAACTGTAGAATTTTGTTACGATCATTATTATTGCATCACCTTTTTTTGGGAGTCTTTTTTTTCTATTATTATTTTGATCACGTGGATTATAAATACTACTGTAAACAAATTCACATCTTATTAGTACTCAAAAATCAATGGAAGTAATACAAATATAAATGAAACGATGCAAATTATTTGTATGTATCAACAATTAGATAGATAAAATAATAAAACATTCTAATATAATAACTATAGTATAATATATTATATAATATAGCAATATATGAGCCTTAGAAATGATTTAATGATCTCATAGATATAAGAAATATACAATACAATACAATAGTTATAAATTGTTTTAGGTGCAGGCAAAGGAGCTGCAGTCATGGAAGATCCACAGACACCAGGATCGGATTGCAATTCCAATCCTGCAACAGATTCTATGCAACAGGATCTTATCGGTTCTGACTTCATACAAGACAATGTGGAGTATCAATGGTGTACAGATTATGGGTGAGAAGATTATGGTGTATATACGAAGTATACTCAAACTACTAGACACAAAATTCTACATAATCTAGTTTTTCGTGTGATATTGATCATTTAAAAAGATATTTTGATTTATTTTTTGTCTTTTTTTTAGATACAGAGATGGAGGATTACATGTCCATCCAAGTGTTTTGTCAACGCTCTCTGCATCATATACTAGGGAAGATGTTGGTTATTACGATGACTTGTCGCGTAATTTGGATGCTAATTTAGCAGAAATTGATATGGAAAGTTTTCGTAGCGCAGACATCCACACTCTTCTTACTGCTTTGCCAGTTATGTGCACAGATCCAGTTCAACATTCAGAGGTTAATATATATTTAATATAAATCATTATATTTTATTATTTATATATTAATATCTGTAAGGCACATATGCACACACAAACACACGCACACACACACCGCACATATTTTTATTTTAATCTTTTTTTTCATTTCTATTATGTTATTAAATTTTGAATTTGTATTATTTATCATTAATACCATGCATTTCAAAGGACTTTTAGTAAACATTATTTTGATTTATTATATACCAAAATTGATATTCTTTAAAATATACGTTTGTTCATTTAATTAATATAATATATTTAAAGCAAACAGATACATAAAATAAAGTATTTACAACAAGTTACAATATAAATCGATCAACTAGTCAAATTAATACGTATTAAATGTTAAAAATATATTCCATTATTATGACAGTTTAACTATCAAAGGGAACGTTATGCCAGTATATCTAGTTCCGTCATGGAAAAACTTGACATTGGTTCTTCGATCAGCCCTCACACCAGCAGCCAGGTATGACAATACCTGTGCAACTTCCAAACTTATTAGAACAAATATTTACGAAACCATTCTATAACCCATGAAAAATATATAGGACAGGTTTATGTATATTCTAACTTGTAATGCATTGTATTATAATAATGTTAATTGTTGACTGAAACTATAGTAACAAATAAAAATAATATATGTATATATATAAAGATAATTATATGCATATATATTTTAATTATTTATAATTTTGATTTAAAGGGAGAAGAATCTGCTTGTTCGACAACCGATACAATGTCTATATGCAAATCATCGTTACTATTCTCTCCTGTGAAAGAAACACCTGTGCTACCGCCGGCAGGTAGTTACAGTGTAGATTCATTGGACTGCGAAGACATGCTGTTAACTTGTCAAGCAAATAATAAAAATAATTATACTATTGCTTTCGAAGCTAGCATTACAATGTATTCCGATAGTTCTCCAGATTTTGAACATCAAGGTAAATCAATAATGTAATAACACAATATTGCACGTAGATAGTTTTCAATGTTTGTCATGTATAATATTAAATTGTTCTTTCAGAAAAACCAGAAACGTATGAGGTACCAGAAATTTATTACAAAAGAAAGGGCTTACGAAGAAATATATTAGATTCGTCAATGGCGTGTTCCGATTCTAAAATATACACTACTTGGAGTAATTTGAAACATACATCCATGAATAAGGTTATTACTCGACATCCGTCGGGTAATAACAATACTATTCCAAACTTTTTACATGGAACAGGGAACACAATTACATCTATAAACAATAAAAGAAGCCAAAGCCTACCAGATCTTTCACGAATTCAAGAATCACCTGCTAACATTCATCTAAATTTTTCTGTAAATTTTTCTTATTTAAATGAAATGAAATTATTTTGGTTTATACTAATTATTGTTTTTCTTTTTTTACAGGTCGATTCTGCCGAATCGAATAACCATCCGTTACAATCAAACAATTCAGGATCTGCAATGAGTCGTTCTGTAAATGAAGAAAATTCCGATGGTAGTGGAAATAATTGTTGTGGAAAAAAATTACAAAATTTAAGCCTAGTAAAATTATTTATGAAACAAAAAAGTATGAGCGCCGAAGGAATGAGTCTTACTTTAGATCAATCTGACTCTATAAGTGATAATGGTTGGCCTACGAGTAATAGTGCTAGTGATAGTGCAACTGCGAATACAAATACACAAATACAGCGACAAAATTTAAACAATACGTGTACTCGTCCGCTTCCCGAGAAAGATTTTTCTATAAATTGGGTTCGTAGCGATTGTTATACTAACAAAGAAATAGAAAGTCAAAAGGATAAGTTTGCTGACATTCCAAACAATTTTCCAAGCAATAAAGAAAATAAGGATGGCATGATTTCATCTGCCTCGGTCGAAGAATTGTCGGAGAGCATAGTTAAATCGGAACTCGTACATGACAGTGATATAGAACAAATAGATTTTGAAATTTCACAGGATGATTTGGAAAGTCGTGGTAAAAATGTACGAGTTTTACAAGCAGAAAATAAATGTACGATAGTTAAAACAACAGGAATACAAGCAATGGTTGAAACAGAGGATAACGAAGTTCAAACGTCAATAATTTACAAAGTACCTGCAGAAAAAGATAGCCCTTCGATAAGGGAAACGATAGTTAATAAAAGGCCTGTTTATGTTGTATATCCTAATTATACATTACCAGATCTTTCATTTCTTAATATTAAAGATACGAAATTGGACAATGTTGCATTAAAGCCTCAATGTTATGACAAAAGTAAAGCAGGTTGGAAACATTCAAATAGATGTAGCCGACCATTCTCTTGTAATGATATTGATGCGCTTAAGCAACGTGGTTTTTCACACGTTAAGGATTGGGAGTCGTTAACATTCCTTTTACCTACTGAATATAAAAAAATCTTACACGATGTGCCAGAAGTTTCGCAGCATATCAATATAAATGAACAAATTAAGAAACCATTGTTTTGTTTGTCCCCACCGATGCGACATAAAACAAGACCGATAAGTGAACTTATACCAAATAATAGTTCTTCGACGAGTAGTACAGCTACACAACCATCTTCTGGATATCGAGGCTCATCTACAATATTAACGGATTCCTCAACGAACCAGCAATTACTTTCTAATAATATAGCTAACCCATTATACTTATATCGTTACGATAGCATTAGTTCTGAAGCTAGTTTAGTGAGCAATGACAAGAAAATGCATAGGGCTGTTAATCAAGCAAAACAACAAGTCTATCCTAATTTACCTAAACGGTCCATTTCATTACCTTATGGAGATAAAGAGGCTGATTGCTGCAACGGCAAAGTACCACCGAGACCTCCCTTACCAAGAAGTATCTTAAGAAAGAATAAAGTACCAACGAGTAAAAGATACAGTATGTTTGAAATGGGAGGAGTGGACGAGGTAGAAGATCAATGTCCCGAACCAAATAAAAGAATGTCGTTACATGAACCCTATTATATGAATAATGATTTGCAATTGTTATGCCGTGGGAGAATTATCGATTCGGAAAAAGACGTTGATGAGACAGAGGAGAAATGTAATACAGGTAAAGTCCAATTTATTTTGCTAAAAAGTGCTAAAAACTCTATTATTAATATTTTAAGTCATCAATAACATTTTTTATTTTAGAGAGACTGAACGAAGCTATTAATAATACAAATGTAGATTATGAAATTTCTCAAAATAGTGAAGACGATGTAAAGCAATTAGAAGAATTTTTAAAACGTAGCGGTTTATCGTCAGAAAGTAGCGAAGGTGACAATGAAGATCCCGAAGTTAAATTGAGATCATACGTGAGAAAATTTTTAGCTCTTAGAATGAACAAGGATGTTGTCAAAAATATTGATATGGCCGAATCGCAGAAAAAAACCGTCAGTTTTGCTTTACACGAAAGAAAACGATATTCAAATGAAAAGGTCATTATTTCTATATATTTCATGTTTATATATTGTATATATTATTTTATAATACTGTATTAATGAAATTATATATTCAAATTGCAGCCAAATAATATAAGCGTTACGACGAACGAGTACAATAAAGATAAATGTTTTCAAGATACGAACAAAGAAATCAATCCTGAGAACAAAATGGATTTAGAAGAAAAAAGAAGTACGCGCCAATATTATACGTATTTTTTTATCTCCAATTTATTTATATAACACTTTGTATTTTTAAATATTATTTCAGATATGATATTATCCGTAAGCAAATCTGTTGATTTATTACTTATATATTGGAACACTGAACCTACTAATGGCCGACAAAATTACAACGATAAAAATGAATGTGCACAACTTTGTTTAAGTAATCTGTGCCCAGCTTTGTATACTATTATGTCGGATGGTCTAAAACCACATTTACAATCTACTTTTGGTCCGCTAGCAAACAGCGTATGGCAAGTTGTTGAGGCTTCCGCTCAGCAAGGACCACTTACAAAAACATTGAACGAATTAGTTCAAAAGATTAATGGCGAGGATATTATTACCGAAGGAATGCTTAAATTTCACGCCTTTGTATTTGGTTTATTGAAGTGAGTTTTAACGTTAATTTTTATATGTTGTTTTATATCTTACATAAGAATACATAAAGAAATAAAAATCATCCTATCTTTATAATATTTTTTGTTTCTAGTTTGCGAGCTTTGGATGCATGGTTTGCATATTTATGTACAAGAGAATCAATTTTACGAAAACATTATAACAGTAATAGTTTATTTACCGGAGCATTAGGAAATACTGACATTCGTGAAATTGTTGATAGTTTATTAGATATTTTACATCCTTTAGCATTTTGTCCATTTCAGCTTGATCTTTTATACCAATATCGACAATTGCATAATAGTTTTGGTAATATGAACAATTATAGTTTGAACGTAAGTATGAATAAAATAAATATCCTTTTTTTTTTGTTCTTTTTCGTCTCGTAATGAGCAATTTGCTATTCCTCTATTGCAGGGAACAAATTTTCGAAATATAGATTTACATCAAAAGGATCATCATTATGAAAAAACGGATAATTGTGGAACTGTATCAAGTCCAAGGAAAATACGTCCACGGTCTTGCGTTGTTTATAACGATTATGACGATAAATCTGGAATAACGCATAAAATTGATCACGAGAGTGTTGTTAAAAAACGTTTCAACAATGCTATTGGAACGACTAAAGTATTACATGGTTTAGAAAAATTAGCATCGGAAGATTCTGAAGATTATACAGATAGCCTTGAACATTCACCATTGAATAGAGGTGCAGCGAAACAAACTATTCCTATTAAAGTATTAACTCAAGATTCAAAAATGGAGGATGAAGATACGATTACTGGGGAAGCTAAGTTTAGAAAATTACAAGAAAAATGGGAATCGATGGTTGGTAAAGATGAGAGTGTAAAAAATCAAGCTGCACCAACGACGTTACCACCCTTGTCACCAATGCGAACACCCGCAAATTTAGGAAAATCAAAAATACCACGATTATTAACGTCGCCAATTAAACAGCCAAATGTAACAATAGGATCTGCTAAAAGTGTCAAGTCCCCTATGACTGGGATACCTTCTTTGAAAAAACCGGTTGCATTGTCAACTACCAAAACAGTATTAATGAAACCAATAGAAACAACAAGGGGGAAAGGTATACCAGAAACACGACGTACCAGTCGCGTTGATCAGGACGTAGTTGGAACATCGCGGACACATTTGTCACGACCTAGCTCTTTACCTTATAAATCTTATGGAGTTATGTCGAAAGAAAAGAATCTCGTATCACCTCAAAGGCGAGCTGCTTCCACTTCTTTACCAAGGCCAAATACAGCTACACGAAATAATATTTCGAGGAAACAACCTTTAAAGTAGGTCCAATATTATTATCTATATACTTGTCAAATAATAACATATATGTTATATATTAATTCAACCTTTTTTATTCGTCGTTTTCAATTTCATTTGCAATAATTTAAAAGGCAATATTTTTCGTTACAGGACACATACACAGAATACACATACACACACAAACAAATTTATTGATACACTATATCTATAAAGATATGTTAATTTTTATAATCAATGTATCTGTCAGCTTGTAATCATTTTTATTTGCAATTTATATTGTTTTTTTTTCTTCTTTTTTTTCTTTTTTGTATCATTTATGTATCGCTTGTTATTTTTCAGTTTTCTTACTTTTGTATATTTTTTCTTTTCCTAGATTAGTAAAATAACGCTTCTCGTCCATATCGATTCCAGAGACGTTCGCACAGTTACAAATAGAGCACCATCGAATAATGGGCATCTATCATTTGCAGAAGGTGAAAGATTGAAAGTTATATTAGAAATTGATAATAAATGGTTATTATGTGAAAGAGGTGATAGAAAAGGTTTGGTTCCAAGAATGTGTGTGCATACTATTCAGACTTAGCGCCCATTCGTTGATATTAATCAGAGAAATTCTTAAGTAAGTTGATTAAAAAGTGAAAGTGATGTGCTTAGCTTTGAACGAATGCAAGAAAGAAAGAAAGAAAGAAAGAAAAAAGATGAAATATACGGTTTCGTATGTACAGTGTATTAAAGAAAAAGGCATAGTTAAATGATTTTTAAAATTATTATTTAATGATGATAATGATGATGATGATGATGATGATGATGATGATGATGATGATGATGATGATGATGATGATGTTGCTCGCTAAGAGTCATTATTATTTAAAGCTTCGTTCGTATAGACTCGTGAGATAATATTTAACACTCATAATATCATTGACAAACAACGCAACACAGCAGCCTTCTGGGACCCCAGTGAGAAAAAAGCTTCTTTGCATATTATATATATATATATATTGTATATTGACGGTCAGCTTTTTTTTATTTCTTTTCTCATACCATTTTCGATCTGAATTTCACTGGGGTTTGCGTATCATACCCAGACACCATATCTCCTTTAATTTTATCATTATATATTACCATTATATGTTCATATTAAGTAATTGTTTTGTATGCATAATAGCTACCCAATTTATTTTATAGCTTTTATGCAATTAGACACGACCGTCATTTATAAATCATATATATATATATATATATTTACTTTAGCAAATTGAACAAAAGTTATTTTTTAAAAATATTAGGCAAAATTTTACATTATAATATAGATTACAGAATATTATTCTATTTCTATCGAAAAACAATATCTTTTTTCCTTTATGATGACTCTATATAAGATAATACCTGACGGTTATGGTCGTGACTAAAAAAAAAAAAAAGAAAAAAAAATGAAAAAAAAGAAAAAAATATTAGAGGTACTGCTAGTCATATAAGCTTTTAAAACCTCAATATATTTAAATGAACATATACCTATTTATAACTAAAATTGTACATATATACAGTAATATGATGATAAAAACGCAACGGTCATATATAAATATATATATAATATTATGAATGTAACTGTGATCATAGCAAATAGGTGCATAAGTTGATTGATGCGAATGTTCGAAACAAAAAGAAAAACAAAAACAAAAAAAAATAACATTGTTTGATTTTTTATATTATTTTAATATTTCAATCACGTCCAATCATCGTAAAAAAAAAAAAAAAACAAAAACAAAAAATAAAAACATTAAATAATTATTATCGGTTTTATTTAAGCATATAAATTTATTATCGTGTCGTGCGCTTTTGAATCGCAATAATCACATTTTTTTACTTGCTTCATGTATTTCTTAGTATGTGAAAATACATACTGTGTATTCAAATAAAATCTATTATAATATATGAGACATATTATATCACTGTACCATTTTTCTTCGCGCAGTGATAATCGTTCCCTATAATAGCATATTTTCAAGATATTAATATAAGTATTATCATATAAATATAGAAAGAGAGAGAGAGAGAGAGCAATTGATAATAATGATAATATATGATAACAAAAAAAAAACAGAGACAACAAATAATAATAATAATAATAATTATATAATAAATTTCCACTACCGAAGGAATTATCATTTTATTTCTTTGTTTTGTATTTTTTTTTTTTTTTTTTAAGAATTTGTTGAAAAGAACATTTTTCGTTCGTTGATAAAACAAAATAATATTGTGAATCCTTAAATTTGACAAAAAAAAAAAAGATAAAACAAGTTGCTTAAAACATATCTGCCTCATACCATTTTAACAGCATTATTCGTAAAATCATAAACTGTGTATGTTTGTATATGTATATATAAATAAAATATCCATGTTTATAATATTACATATCTTTATAATATGTTCCCATCTGTATATAATGAATTTTTCTATTAATTTTGGTCTCTAAATTGGTAAAATAAAAATATAGCTTTTCACTTTATTCAATATCATTTTTAAAACATAATAAAACAAAATCTTTAATTAATGTTATTAAAAGCTCTTACACATATGCATATATATATATATATATATATATATTACCATAATTTATACGAAAAAAAAAATATGTATTATAAAAACATATAAGTGCTTATTAGATTAATTAATATTTCCATTTTGTTTTATGTTTTTTTTTTCCGTTTTATATAGATGATTTACAATTTCACATTCAAGACACAAACACATTTAATATGTTGAAATAAGTTTCGTTTAAAATGTAGACTTATTAATTGTTTCTTTTTTTTTTTGTACTGAAATATTTCTGATCAGGTCTTTATAACACGTAGTGTAATAAGTCTTATTATAACTTTAACATATTTTTGTTCATCTTGAAGAAGACAGTTACATTCAGTGTGCGTAGGAACATTCTATTGCTATAAATCATATTAATTCTATTGATAAATAAGTCATTATTTTGTTTGTATATATATTAGTAGCCTTAATTCGTTTACATATTATTTAATCTTATTTACAATAGGTCTACAGAAAAACTTATTACAGAATACGCCTGTAGTATATTTTCTATTATATGTAATTATAATTTCAATATTATACAAGTTATAGTTAAATATAAACATTTTTGTTCTCACAATTAAATTATATTATTCAAATAAAACTAATTAATCGCTCATACGCGTGTGTATGTGTATTGTATGTATGTGTATGCGTTAAAACAAATAATTAATGAATAATAACAGAAGTACCTGGAAGCATTGTGTTATAATTCTGATTTAACATAATCGAAGGGGGGAATCCCCTAATTATATACATATTCATTTCAAATTCATAATAAGAAAGTTTTTATTTATTTGTATTATAATTTTCGTTTATTGATAACAATGCAATAACTATATCCGTTGTATATTTTCTATACATTCTTATGGTGTATTATTTTCCATTGGAATATACAAAAATTATACAATATTTTGTTCTTTTTTTTCTTTGCATATTTGATCGAGTGAGTCTTAATAAAAAATAGAGAAATTTTACATAAAATATACAAGAGTTGTTTCAGATTAAAAATCTTGTTATTTTCGGCATATGTATATTACCAATGTTGATGTTATATTGACTGGAATGCTTTTGAGGTACTGTTAAGAATCATGAACTAATGTTAAGACTATTTATAGAATTTATTACAATGCTGATAATGTTAGGTATAAATTTGTAAATATATTAACTCTTTTTTTTTTATTAATATTACTTTTTCTATGATAAATGATTAAAACCAATGTATTATATTTAAATATTTTATAGAGAAATATATAAAGGAACCAAGTTATATTTTATGGCTTTTTTCTTATTGTAAAAAAAAAACCTAGAACAGGTAGATACTATTTAATAAAACAATGACAATGAGTTATTATTCACACTTGACTAATTCTACAAAAAAAAAAAAAGAAGAAAAAGAAACTAAAAAGAGTTACATAGAACAATGATTTTATAATTAAATATATCTATCTACTATTCGATATGTAGAAGTCCAAATATATTTCGTTATAATTCTAATGTGTTTTTTTTTTGTTTTTTTTATATATTTTTTTTTTATTATTTTTTTTTTTTCTTTCATTATAAAATTCTGTCGAATTCCAAATCTAATAATCACACATTTTATATGTATTATTTTATTTGAAGAAGAAAATGAATAATATTTATATCAAAAATTTCAACGTATTATTAACTTATATGCATGCACACAAATATGTACCTATATACATGAACATTTTGTTTGTTATTTTTATCAATTATAATAATCCTTCATATATAACCGGATTTTATTTAATATGGCAGTATGAATAATCAAAGATTTACCATTGGTTTTTGTTAACAATATGAAAGTATATGCTCCTGTAATTTTGTTGTATGTGTATATGTATTTTACTATATTATTTGTACTAAGTACAAATAAATACATAAACATATGCAATTGGATGCGTATATTATCATCTTTTGGCACTACTCAAGTCTGCTAATAAAGAAGAAAAAGATTCTTATTATTATTATCCTCTTGCTTGTTCCGTTAATGACTAGAAATTGTAAATAATTGTATAGAATATTATATTAGGCCCTTTTTATTATTATCACAGTCTAAGGGATGCCTATATTAACTGTGATATTTATTACTTTGATCAATCTTTTATTTTTGTTTATTTTTACATAAACTATATTATAGCCGAACCGTTTTGTTTTAATATAAATAAGTAATAAAAAAAAATCGTGTGCACAGAACAAGTAAGAGAAAAAAAAAAAAGAAAAAATGTAAACTCGTTCCTATTTTTGTTTATTCATAATAATACATTTAACTCAGGAAAAGTCATTTATATATGGGCATAACATCATTCCATTACCATTACCATTACTGTTATTTATTTATTTATTTAATTATTTGAATTAATGCAGACTGAGTAAGCACATTGCGTTTAAATTATATTAAATATAATGTCTCATCCTGAGTTAAAGAACAAGTCGAATAAACATTGTAACATTTACCAGTCTCTTTTGAAATATGACTAAATGCTTTTTTATTGCATTGTATATTTTATATTAATTCAGTATGTCAATTGTTCTATAGATTTTGTTTATTTTTCTTTTTTCTTCTTCTTCTTTTTCTTTTTATTCTTTTTTGAACGTGTAAAAAATAGCATTAAAAGCGCAATCAAAATTGTATATAAAACAGAGCATTTTATTGTACTTACATATATCTATGATTGAATGAATATTTAAAAATAATAATTGATAAAAAATCAAAAGATTATCATTCGTAAAAAACAGAGAATACGTAACGAATTGTTCTTTTTTTTATTTTTCTCAGAAAATAATTATTCGTCGCAAACCTTTTCTTCATAATCTCAAAAAGAAAAATTCAAGCAAATAATAATAAAATGATCATTGAAGTGTGCATTGAAATTTTCTAAATGAATAATAGCCAAATTGATAAATAACACATATTGTGCAACGATAATTAATAATAAATTCCTTGTGGCTTCCAATCGAAATTATTCGATTGTATCTACCAGGTACTTTGTATAATAAGATTTTTATATCAAGTTTTTACAATACACATTGAAAAGAATGTTTGTTTGTTTTTTTCACACTGTCAAAGTTTCTGTTTCTTTTCTATTTTTATTCATATTATATAATGTGTCGAAATGATTATTATGTTAACGATCATTGATGAGAAATGCCAGTTCTTCCAAGTTCATGAGTTCAAAAATTGATGATTCAACAAAATTAAAATTTGCATTAACATTTGATTGCAATTATAACATACAAACCATAGTCAGAAGATAAATATGTAGTATTATGTTTTTATTCACAAATAATGTAATTCATAATGTAATATAATTCTACATATTCTTCGCTTATCTATATATTATTATTATTATTAATATTATTATTAAAGTTAATAAAAATTGTACCCTATTATTAAAAGTAATAATTTATCTCATCACTTTACTGGTTGGTACAATATTTGTGTCATTTCATAAAAATTATTTAACGTATTTCTGCAATCAAATTTCTCACGTGTAATAGGATGCCATATCATTTACAGTTTTATACAGTTACTCTTGAGATAATTTGGAGATATTAATCTGATCTCAACATGATATATATAATTTATAAATTCGTTTGGTGTAATTATATTATACTTAATCCAGGGAAAAAATGCAACTATAAATCTATCCTTTTTATTCTTTTGAAAACATTTAATTGTTCTCCAAATTTCTCATAGAGTATTAATATTATATCTACAGCAATGAGTAATAGTCAAGCGTGTCATAATAAACATTTTAACAAATACGATTTTATTTCAATTTTGTTTAGCATTGAGAAATTGTTGATTCTAATGCTTGAGAAAAAGTTACAGTCAAATTGATAAATCTACAATTATCAAAATAACTTTAGTCGATTTAAGATATATGAAAATTGTTGTCTCATAATGTTTACATAATATTTTATAATGGATATTTTTATACGGTCATGCATTTGATCAGAATTATCTTCATTTCTGCTTCAAATATAATGACATATTAATATACTACATAATTAAACTCTTGTACTTGAATTTATTCATCAAACTTAATATACACAATGCAGTCATGTTGCACCTGTACTGTTATGTCATTTTTTTTATATCAAACATCAAATCTGACTTAATAACAAATATATCTATTAATAATACTCCCTTCCAAACATTGTTTTATATCGAATGTTGGATTTTAAATTAAATTTAAATTAAATTTAAATCAAAATTACTATCAAATTTTTTTCAATGAATAAGCTGAACTGTCATACAACTGTATATACATATATCAGAGTCAAGAGAATTACATCATACATATTAATCTTTAAACTTATATTTTCAAAAGTTCTTTAACTATTGAAAATAAATCATTTATTGTAAAAATTATAACAAAAAATGACCCTGATATATTTCTATTAAAATGTTTTTAACAAAATGTTCATTATACAGGTACAACTGTGCATTTGTTTGAATGTATGTATCACTCCTCTATATATGTACAAGCAACCAACTTTTGTTTTTTTGTTATTTCATATATTTCACAGATTTTAATGTAAAATGTATGCTGAAAATACTGTTAAATATATAATCATTCTGAGTAAAACAATCTATTGTACAAACAGAAAATATATAATCAAGCTGCATGCAATGAAAAACAACAACAACAAAAAATGACAAATAAAAAAATAATTATAATAAAAAAGAAAAAAAAACAATATACCAAACCATGTCTATACACAGCCAAATAAAATAAAAACAAAAACACTAATTGTTTGAAAGCTGTTAATTGTCTTTCTTTCTTTCTTTCTTGCTTGCTTTCTTTTTATCGACAAATCTTAATGTAATAAATTATAAATTATAATCTAAAATGTGTGTGTCTCTGAGAGAAATATATTAGTAGAGATAAAAAAATAATATAATCCATAATAATAAAATTCTGATGATTAAAATAATGCTCATGCATTTGACGTTCTGGCATTTCTCACATATGTACATGATAAAATTATGATACAGGAAATGGTTGTGCAATTTAACTAAAACTATAATACATATATACTAACTACATACTAGACTCCTTAGTGCTGATAGACTCGTTGGTATTATCAACGCGAATTAATGTAGATGAATTAAATGAATTAAATTTAAAAACAAGTGTCCTACTCAATGTAGCCACTCGCTCCATTACACAAGAAGCCGAAAGACGTGCCTCGGCATCATGATCCCAACATTCCTCCATCGTATCACAAATTGATAAAAGTCCCTACGAACACGAAAGGTATTTAACATAATGATAATAGATATAAGACAAAATATATATATATATAAACATAAATATATTGAAATCAATAGAATTGTACCGGATGTTTACGCCATGTTTCTAAAATAAGTGGCCTTTCTTTTTTATGTACCACACTTTCTTGCATGTCTTCTAATGTAGGATGAAGACCAACTTCATCTTCAAATGGTAATCTATATTCTCCAATTGGTCCCTAGAAAGATAAAGAAATATATATTTGTTCGTATTATTGAATTTTTTCATTTATTTGGTATACTTTCTTACATCTTGTACGGTACATCGTGAAGCTAATTCCCATAGTACAAGACCACACGCATACATATCGATTCGCAAAAATGAATCCCTGGTAAAATTGATTGCCCCTTCTAAAACCTCTGGAGCCATATACCTCCTTGTTCCAACCTATATTTCATTGTTAATTAATAATAAAAAAAGAAAGTATTCAAAAGTAAATAATTGTATGTTAGGTATTTACCTGTCCATGTGTATCACCGCAAGGTTTTCCAGGGTGGAATATTAATGCTAAGCCAAAATCAGCTATACAAGCATTCATATCTGCTTTAAGAAGCACATTTTTCGATTTGAAGTCTCTGTGAGCAACTGCTGGTTTATAACCATCGACTTTGTTAGCTGGTATCTCTTCGTGCAGATGCATCAATCCCCTATTACATATAAATAAATAAATAAATAAACAAATAAGTAGATAGCGTATATTCATTTAAAGACAATGATCATATTAATAAATAATTCAATACCGTGCCATTGATTCTGCAATTCTACACATTTCAGGCCATGTTACAACGTTAGCTTTTAAATAGTCGCATAAAGAACCTTTCTCGTGGTATGCGGTTATTAACCAAAACTCAGCTTGCAAATTATCACCTCTTTTTTCAACCCCTATAAAACGTAATATGTCCTCATGATCCATGTGCGCGAGTCTAAATATTTCTTGTTCCGTTTGCCATGATTGTTTATCTTGCATAGGAAAAACTTTGACGGCAACTATTTCATTTTTCAATTGGGCTTTCCAAACAGCTCCAAATCTTCCTCGAGCTTTTATTTCAAGAAGTTGAATTGGTCGTAATCCTAAATTAGGAGACGGCTGGGGTAAAGGTAATGGTTCTAACGTTGGCACCTAAATAATCAAAATCAATCAAATATGTGTGTATATATTTATATTAATTAATAAACATTATATAAATTAAACTTTTATTCTTTTTTTTTCTTCTACTAACCTCATTGAAGTATCCCAATTTTTTACGACGATAGCACCAATACAAAATGGATATTATTATTATAAGGAGGATCATAGGAATTGATATGGATAAAGCAAGTGTTATTATTTGTTGTTCGGTATTTGGAACAGGTTCGTATTCTGAAAATATTTCATCGAATAAAATAACATTATAATTGATATTTATATACATATATATTTCTTGTTTACAAAACTCATTACCGTGAACAATGGGGGGAGGTTGAGTAGGTTGCGGATCCCATGTAAAGTTTTGGTTGCACATATTACCATCGCAACAACAGAAAAACAATTTCTTGTCCTTATTTGGATTTTTCTCAACGCATTTTGGCTTGTCATAACATTCTTTACTATCTAAGAAACAACCCTATAATAATGGAGAATATATAATGTTACATTTTTAATGAAAACAAATATTATGAAAAATAAGATACATATGAAAAAAGAATATAGTTCGTCCAAGCAAACCTTCAATTTAATTATAGTCTTTTCGGTTTTGCTGTCAATATGCCATAACACATAACAATGATTGCGTTTATCTGTATCATGCGGGCCACATTCCTCTTTTCCCGAACATCCTTGTTGACTTTCCGTGCACATAGTTTCATTGTAAAATTCACAAAATTTAGAACCCTTAACATCATGTCCTAAAGTAACACCTGTAATAGATAAAACTTATTCAAATTTTACCAACTCTTATGTAAAAAAAAAAAAAAACAACATTGTAATGTTAACGTACATATAATCTTGTATGTTGTTTTTTTTTTCCTAATATATAACTGATATTTTGTAATGTATGCACAAGAATATAACTAAAACTATAATTGTTTGCCCATTTAAATATCAAAGTATAAATATTTATATATGAAAGTAATATACATTATACACATACTCATCGAGATGCGTAAACAATATATTTTACTGACATAATAATAAAATCAACAGAATCCTTTGAACGTGTGTTGAAAATAAAAAATATCAATTAAAATAATAACTACAAGTGTTAGACTGAAATGATACAATGATCAATTACCTAATAATCCTAGGAATAGGTATGGCAGTATCGTCACATATGCGGACATCGTGAATGGATCGTAAAAGCATACCAGTAATTTTGAGTCTATTAGCTATTAAGCAAATTGTAGTAATTCATCCACCGACACATCTCTCTTCCTCCCCCTCCCAACTTGATATCGAAACGCGCACAGCATGAATTCATGTCATTTTCACTCTTAAATCACTTATATTCTTGTAACCTTTAAAAAAAAAAATAATTATAATGTTATCCTTGACACCTTGTTTGATTTCATAAACGTACACACGATTAACACGAATTCTTCAATACAAATTAAAATAAGATATTCTCATATCGTATTATTACAAAAATACACGGCGGACGCACTGAACAAATTGACGATGAACCATAAACTATGTGATCACTGTTGTCAGGAAACACATCTATTAAAATTCATCCCTTCTATCGTACCGTCTTGATTGGTTAATAGTAAAAATTACTAGAATATTTTTTCATTCGGTAATAAATGCAAAATAAGTTCTTTTAGACTAATATTAGATATTACAAATCAAAAATTAACATCATACCTTTTTTTTCAAAATATAACAAAGCAATTTTGACAATTATTTACAAGCTCCAAAGATATTATTTTCAATATCGACACATCTAGGGTTAAATGTCTGTCCAATTAGAGACCTACTTTGGAACACTAAACGAACCAATGATGACTAATCATATACTACTATAGGAACTTTTTAGATGGCGTAACAATGCATGTGTAGTTATTATTATTTTCTTTATTTGGTAAGAAATGTTATTCTCTATGCGCATGCACGACAATTCGTTTCTTCTTACTTTTATAGGGGATTGAAAATATAAAACTATTCTACACATATGTTTATAAAGCAATATTTGATAAAAGTCTTACACATTTATATTATTATTACTTTGTCATCATATAATAATATTATCTGTAAATATAAGACAAGTTTATAATTTGATTGTAATCAAACACTAATCATATCACTAAGGATTTCGGATCATTGTCCTATTATAAATTGTTTTTTTTTTCTTCTATTTTATCACTTTTTTATATACATACAAGGAAATATCATTTTTGTAGAATAAATAAAGAAGTAGAGATAAATTCGAAATATACGCCATCACATGTTATCACCAGAAAACTATTAACAGTTTAAAGGAATAAATTGGGCCAAAACACCATCTATGATCAGCTGTAATCAGGGATTTTGACATATGTAGGAAATTAGTAGAAAAACAATTCTTTCTTCAATAATATATAAATAAGAGATTTTAAGGTTAATTCGAAAGTGTAACACTGTGATAATACTTGGTAAATAATTATTTGCAATAAATTGATAATTAAGGAAGAAATTTAAATGTTAAGCAGTTATGGCAACGCCCGTCACTGATAAGAAACCGCGAGTGATCGTTTTAGGAGGTAAGAGTGATTGATTTATTTCTTTTAAATAATATATTAAAGGTTAAAAAAGAAAAAGAAAAAAAAAGAAAAAAAAGAAAAAAAAGAAAAAAAAGAAAAGAAAAGAAAAAAAAGAAAAAGAATACAAATAGATAATATGTGTTTGAATGGTTTTCACAGGATGCGGTTTTATTGGGCGTAATCTCGTGGAATATCTACTGGATAATGATTTGGTATCATACCTTCGTGTTGTAGATAAAGTGCCTCCGCAAACTGCATGGTTAAATTCAAAACATGGAAAATTATTTGAAAATCCTCTGCTAGAATTTAAAAGCGCTAATTTAATAAATACAGGTAACCTGTATTATGTTATAATTAAATGTAAAAAGATTAAATGTGTGTGTACATATAACATCTCTTTATAGCATCGTGTCAGAATGCATTTGCTTCTGATAAACCCATCGATTATGTTTTTAATTGTGCCGGAGAAACTAAATGCGGTCAAACAGATCCAGTTTACAAAGAAGGAATTTATAAATTAAGTATTAATTGTGCTCAACAAGCTGCCAAAATTAAAGCCAATCATTTCGTTGAAATATCATCGGGCAATTTAAGTTCTTCTGAAAAAGTAATAATTCTTATTTAATCCTATATATAATTTAATTACATTCATGATTTCATTTATTATATCACATATTATTGGTATAAAGGTACCTTGCGTGGAAGAAGAAAGCGGAGAACCATGGACATTTGTCGCTAAATATAAATTACAAGTGGAAAACGATCTGAAAAATATACCAGATTTAAAATATACTATTCTAAGACCGGCAATAGTTTATGGACTTGGTGATAGAAATGGCTTAGGTATTACAAATATAAGATATGAAGCATTTTATTTTCATTAAAAACCTTGATATGGATGATATCAAGAATATAATTGATATTTGTTACTTTATGCTATTAATACAGCACCAAGATTAGTAGTTGGAGCGGTTTATAAACATCTAGGAGAAATGATGAAATTACTTTGGGGACCAGATCTTCGCATGAATACAGTTCATGTAAGAGACATGGCTCGAGCTATTTGGCACGTGGCGAACAGATCTGATACAATAGGACAAATATATAACGTAGTTGATGAAGGAAATTCTACTCAAGGATCAATAAGTGCTATCGTTTCCGAATTATTTAACATCAACCATGATTATTGGGGTACTACATTATCTACTCTGGCTAAAGTATGAGAAGGATTTTAAAATTATTCTTAGTATGTTTTTATCTATATTTATATATATTGGAGGCAATATTCAATGAGTATTTTTTTTTTTTATTATATATGCCCTTCTAATAAAAAGATCAATCACATGTTTAAATAATATTAGGTTAGTTTATATAATAATATTGTAAAAGAAATACACATTATTTTATATTTATTTTTCAGACCGATATGAGTTCTGTCGTTGAAGAGGTTAATGACAAACATATGGGTCCTTGGGCCGATGCTTGTAACAAAGATGGAGTAGAAAATAGTCCTCTTTCGCCGTACATAGATCAAGAATTGCTTTATAACAAGCATTTATATTTAAAACCTGGAAAATTATCTAATAATACAGGTTTTACTTATATACATCCTAAACTCACAAAAGAATTACTCAAAGAGGTATGTTAAAAATATAATCCATTTCTTCAGAATGTATAATCTTATTTGAATTTTCAGGTTCTCGATGATTACGTGACCATGAAAATATTTCCACATTCCTTAGTACTTTAACTCTTATCGATAAGAATTTTTTATACAGAATACTTTGGATGCTTATAATAATTTACACATATTATTATACATAGAAACGTTTCACCTTGTGCCTAGTGATCTACGCAAGTACGAAAGTTACATATACTTTAGTAATATACTGAATTCTTATATAACCACATTTTACAAATTTAATAATACGATTAGGTGAGTTGTTTATAGCATTCTTTCCAGATAAAAAGAAACATCATGATTCCATAGATGGGCTTATTTGCCAATGTGATAAAGTAGAGATTAATGTACTTAATTTTATTGTTATTAAAATGCAGGTAAAACAAAAGAAAAGAAAAAAAAATGCAAAAATTATCGAAGACGTATTTATTATAGTCAAAATCAAATAATATAATAATACTATATAAAGTATTTTGATAATTAATTTTAATGATGAAATACTTGGCCAAATATGTTTTTTCTATTGGTATTTGTTTATTGATTTGAAGATATATCATGATTTTTTTTTAATTATTGTGTTCTATTTGTATCTTCCAAGTGCTGTGTGATGTGAATGAAATTGAAAATCATTCTATTCCAAATAATTATGAATATATTTTGTAGTACTTAATATGGTACTTAACTCATACATAACGTATTAAGCCAAGTACAAACAACGTGATTAAGCTAGGAGATTTTATTCTTATGATATTAATCCTTATCAAAATCGCTAGATATACATAGTAAAAGCCTAATGTTTGCATAAGGTGAATGCATAAATAAAATGATATAAAAATTCATGTTAGTATTAAAATGCTAGATAAATGTAATAGCATTTCTTTTTGAAAACTGTTGTTAAAAAATATACATGCGAGCATTTTGATAATAAAGTTATTTCATTTATCAATATTTTTGGTGTTTTCACTTACATTAACTATATATCATTACTCTAAGGTATAGGCAAAATATGTAAAGGAAATCAATTTCATTTCTCTATATCTTAATTTTATTTCATTTTCGCTTATAACAAGATGCTGTATTCTGAAAGTTCAACAGTATTCTTAAATATTTTGTTTATCATTTTAATTTTAATACTTTAAACAATAAGGTTATAATTTTATATGGTTAATTATATGTAATATATTAAAATATATACTTTTAATATTTTCCAGAAATAATATATGTACAATTATGACTACAAGTATTATATATGTACACAGCAAATGCGCTCTACAAAAAAAAAAAAAAAATCGCCATAATCTTTATAATATACTTTTCTAAAGATACTTTTAATAAGATATAATAAAGAGCAGTGTGTTTGTATGTGTGTGAAAATAAATTATTAATATTTACTTGTGATACACAATAATTGCTACATATAACAAATATATAATACCAATCAACATAATTACAAATTCATTTCTCATATAAAGTAAGTAATGTCTGAATTACATTTAATCACTGTGAACATGAAGATATATATTTTTTGTTTGTCGAGGTAAACTGCGTAAGTCTAAATTATCGTGTCTAATAGGTACAGACATTAAGTTAAAATTAAGTAATGTAAGTCACTCTGCAAGAGCGATAACTGAGGAGGTATATATGTCTGACTAGAGTCGCCGTACAATAGAATTAATACTTTAACAGTATATGGCCAACATTATTAATCGGTGTTATAGTTAATTATTATCGGTGCCTATTGTGTGTGCAATGTAAATGGAATATAAATTATCTTGCTTATTTCATATTAAAGCTAGGAGATTCTCTTATGCGGTGTGTGGGCCTAGTTTCCAAGTTAAATTCAAAATAAATCAAAACAATGAACTAAACGTGGAAACTAGATGAATAATTATAATGTTATTATTGACTGAACTATAATAAACAAACAAAATAATATGGAGACTAATAATGTGATATATACTACACAATAATACAAATGCACGTATATCATGTCTCTACCTTAGAAAAGTAACTTGTTATTTTCTTCTCTTTTACCATGGTAATTATTATTTTCATACAGTAGCACGGCGACCCTATACATGATTGTTACAATTTAAAACTTATCACATTTATATAATTACTTAATGTTTATCATTCAAATGAAAATACCAGTGCTAGTCTTTTATTAATATTAGATATCATTTATGTTTTCTCTCTTTTTTTCTTTTTTTTTACTTTCTTTTATAAAGAAAGAAACAAAGCTTTTTACAAAGTATATAGCCTTGGATATTATAAATATAATGAAAACGTAAATATCACAACTGGAATGCTATAAATTATGATATACTCCAAGTTTGTATAAAAAATATTTCCTAATGCAAAATAATATAAAACTTTTTTTTCGCAATTTTATTTATAAAATTAAACTTATTCTTTCTTTTTTTTTTTTCACTCAATTTTTTTTCCTTCTCTCGATAATTTCAATTTATTTGTATACGCCTAATTTTATTTATCTTTTTTTTCTTAACATTTTTAGTAAATGTTTCATTACTTAGAAGCCCAAACACTGATACAATCTTAAACATACATACATATATATATATACACATATATATGTATATATAGATTATTGTATTATGTAACATCTGCATTGTAAAGTGTGCTAAATATGAAAATTGAATGTACAGATAGTTCCCATTTTATGAATTCATATTTTACAAATTGTCAATTTGAAGAGAATTGTTTTCATTTTAATATTATTAAGATTTTCAATGAAAAAACTTAATTATCAGGAACAAAGAAGATATTCTTACTTAATATAAGTTCTTACACTTAGCAATAGAATAATCAGTTACGAATTTAATTCGTAAAAGTGAGAACTATCTGTATATTTTTAATGAAGAATATTATATATATATATATGTATATAAAAAACATAGAATAAACGAAATTCATAGAAATAATGATGAGCTGTCTTTGATAGTTCAATAAATTATATAACTGCCCTTTTCTTAAAACAAATTTTGTAACAAATATTTAACAAATATGGAAGTACAATACTATACAGAAATAACATAAGATATAACAGACAGTATAATTAATGGAAGGTAATACCAAATGAGAAATCTATATAAAATCACAAAACAAACATCAGAGAATGTGTAATATATGTTGCTGAACATAAACTATTGCAATTATTGTTGGATGATATACGAACTTAATAATAATGTATATGAAATATAAAATTGATATAATATTAAGATATATGCAATGAGTTCTATGCATCTTGTCTAAAATAAAGCTATTATTATTCTTCTGTAGAATGTTATTGAATGTTCTTTTTTTTTTTCTTTTTTTTTTCTTTTTTTCTTTTTTAATGAGAGATATCTATATGCATGTAATGACGATGATAAATACATAAATAATATTATTGTATATTTAAATTGAAATGTAGAAGGACTATATTCTCAAAAATCTTCTTACATTCTACACAAAATTTAAAATAATAGCAGTTTTTTGTTTGTAATAACATAAAAATGGAAACATTTTTGAAAGATTAAAAAAGAAAAAAAAAACACTTGAAAAAATTCTCTTTCTATATCGAAGTATAGATATTTTCTATATGATAAAGATGCAGTTGAAATTCTAATATGCGCAGAGGTTCCAATATAATTCTATCTTTACTTGATTTAATTATGTGCTCATGGCAACTACATTATTGCATGGTTCAGTGTAATAATATGATTTTGTGAAATATCACTGAATGTTAAAAGTAATAAATAACAGATAGTGGAGGTACAGTAACAACACTGACATGTCTATGTCTCACTCTACAAGATACACCTTATTCTATCAGGTACTGTAATGGGTTTTCTGTCATGGTAACATGCACCAGTCTGGAATATATATTTGCAAATTTTTTTCCTTTGTCTATTGTATGATACACAGAACTCTTACTGCTTTTTATGTCTGCTATTTTTACATGAAATGTATTTAATCATTGATGTACTTATTTTCCTATAAAATGAACAAATACATCAAAACGGATCTAAATTTGTATTGTAAATGAAACTTACTTTTTATCTAACGACAAAATAATACGTACTAATTACAATAATGTTTTATCTATGTGTAATAAAATATATATAACTATATGAATGTATTTTTGAAAATTTACTTTGTATACTGTGGGTTAATACTTCAATGAATAGAAAAAATTAAAATTATTTTCATATAGTTACAAATATATTGTAGAAAAATGATTAAAATTGTAAGAATCATTTACAATGGTCAAATAATTGAAATTGTATTCATGTGGAAAATCTTATAAAGATATTTTAAATGCAAATAACATGTTCACCATGAGGATCTATTATATATATATGTATATAATCGTTCTGTGTATCTAAATTAATGTATAAGTAAGTTCATTTGTAATACTCATCTTATTTTACAATATTAAACTTGCCTTTTTACATTCAGAGGATTTCTGAAATTTGGAATTATATCAAAATTAAAAGATCTACAGTCAATGTTATGTGACAATGATATTTTGTCAAAATTACTTGATTCTACTGATGTAAATTCTATATATTTTCTTATTTTCTTTTTTCTTTTTGTAATGTGAAGCATTTCATTCATTATTTAATTTGTTAATGTCATTTGTTTTTAGGGCTTCTCATTTCATTTTGAATAGCAAATTTTAAACTTACATATCATAATTGTATAATTACTATCTATATATTCATGAAATAAGTAAAGTAAAAAAAATCATATCAACTAACTTTTTCATACGCATATAGTATCGAATTTAACTCTACTTTCAGTTTCTAATGCTAAGAAATTTTTATCATATATATCTTTACGTTTAAACTATTTAAAAAAAAAAAAAAAATAATAATAATAATAAAATCATGGAATGGCTAGTATAATAATCATTAAAATTAAAATACATTATTAATTTTTGCAGCCAATTATAAAATTGTATAGGCCTTGCACACTTAAATATTTAATGTAGTTATGGACTTATACAGTTTCTTTTTCTTTATCAATCAGTCATAATTTAATAATTATAATGTGTGCATACCATGTATTTTATAAGTTGTTCTTTTTTAGGTATTTCAATGTTATATGCGTGACATATACGTCACATTCTGATTTATAAGGAACGATTTTTTCGAATATTCGTATAAATACTTTTTTTTCGTTTTTACATGTTAAAAATAATTTGTAAAAACAAGTACACTTTTATCATTAGTTATACAAATTGTAGACTTAATTATGAATACCTGAGGATTAATATGCATGCATGATGTAAAAGTTGACTGTAACCAAACATACTCAGGTATCCATATATATCTAAATTCGAAAACTTTATTATAAAGATCTCGTTACTCGATTTTAGTGTAGAATAATTTACAAGAATTTCTCAAATTTCAATCAGAGATGTAAATTAGAAAACCTGAATTTTTAACAAGTTTACTTTTTCTTCGTAATACTAAGATTATTATTATTTGAAAATTTCATTGAATACTATTTTTTTCAAACGCGATGTCCTTTTTTTTCTTTTTGCTTTTGAGAGAAAGAGAGAGAATTATATGATATATAATGTCATATAAATCTAATGGAACTGTTATTAACTTTTATTTCTTAACTTCCTCTCTACCTTTTTTGTTTCCATAATTTCTGTTTCTACTCATTTACAACAACTTTGTAACAGGTTTGTTTGTTTGTTTTCGTTTTTTTTTGTGTGTGTGTAAATTAACGTCATATTCCTACCTGCTGTATTCCAATTCACGCAAATGCAAAACAGCCAAGATCGTTAGAGCGTATTCATCCATTTGGTCCAAGTACTGGAACAGATGTGCAGGTAACGTTTTCTGATGATATATCATTATCTTGACATCCTGAATTATTATTTAGGCTGCCACTGTTACTGTCTAAAGTACAATTGACCATAGTAAACTGTGTGTCATCCAAATCTTGGCTTTCTTCATCATTTTTTCTTAAAACGGTACTATCACGCCTTTTGTACTATAATTATATTCAAAATAATAATATATTTAAATGAAATTTAAAGAAACAATTTAGTCTTCATATTGTCTTTATATATAATACCTGAGGGTTTTCCGTAAGACAAATATTCTTTGATTCTCCATTTACATCCCAAGGTGATAATAATGGTTCCTTTACGCAAGGTTCCACAACACCATTGGTATGTCCTCCCTAAATCAAATTATTTAATATAAAATTTGTAAATATATAGGGTGATTTACTTAGCATATTAAAATTGATTTACTTTGGTATCTGAATGTGGATTTGAAACTGGCGAAGATGGACAAAGACCAGCAAGTTCAACATCATTAGAAGAAACTGTAACATTCATTTGTTGATTTACAGGAGCAGTAGATTCGATACAACATCCATTTCCGTTTCGCACTAAAATACGTCCTTTTAGAGGTTGAGCACCATCTCTTAAAGATCGAGAACTCTCGCATTTATTTCGACAATAAATGCTACATAAGCAAATTGTTATTAATACTATGCTTATGCTTACACCCAGGATAATACCTATTCAAATAAACAAATATAGTAAAAAACTTGTTGTAAATAATTACACTTTTGTTTTTTTTTTTGTAATAGTAAATACCTAAGCTTTGATCAGGTTTAATATTTTGCGGTGGCTTTTGTTCGTTCGATGATGTAGGAATTTTGATTGCTGTACCACCAGTAATAATTATTATAGGATCTGATGATTTACCATAACCCGCTTTTGTAGCTGCTTGTACAATTACAAAATATCGTTTTCCTGGAACTAAACCTGGAAGAGTAGTTGATGTTTTATTTCCAGGAACTGTTACATTTCCCCAACTTTCAATAGGGTCCATTAAATCCATGGTATACGCAACAAAATAATTTTGTATCACTCCATTTATACTACTCGGTTCTTTCCATGCAATACGAACTTTAGTATTGTTACCCAAAAACCACTGAATATCTTCAACTTTTCCAGGAACTAAAATAATTATCAAATAAATCGATGTTCCATATAATTTCTATTATATTTATCATTATAATATATATAATATTACCATCTTCATAAGTATAACATTCAACAGATTCACTGTAAATGTAACTTTGATTATTTTCGTGTCTTATCATTCTTACTTTAAATTGATACAATGTAAATGGTTTCAACTTATCAACAGTCATCTTAGTATCATCTCTGAAAAACATAGTATTTACAAATTTGATTATATTATTATATAAACCGATATAATATAAATTATATTAGATTTAATTCATACAATGTAATGCATTTGGATTCCTCAGAATTTTCAATATGAACCGCATGATAGCAAAGTTCAAAGGAATGTGCACTATGCATTTCAGTTACTGTCCACGTAACATTTATAGAGGTAGATGAAACAGGAATAGCCTCCAAAGCCATGAATACATTACCTTAATAAAGAAATTCAAGATAAAAATCGTGTGAATGTATTTTAAATTATAAAAGATATAATTACTTACTGGAACCAGAATGAGTAACATCAATGATTTTGGTTAAACAATATTTTACTTCGCCAGAATTTACCATACAAAGACCCACAGTGTAAGAACAATTCCTTTCTGTGAAGAACACAAAAAAATAATAATTTTAATATCATTACACGTTTACATGAAATTGAAAAAGAATTATACGCAGTTGTAAGAAAATACAAGAAAAAAACATTTTGTATTTTGTTTTGTACACTGTCTCCAGACCATCGTCTGGACCATGGTTTTGTTAAAAGCAAAGAAAAAAATTCAAAGTACATGCATACATAAAATAAATATTTTTGTTTTGTTTAATTCTTACCAAGATTATTGGCTAATGTATATTCTGTAGCATTTCGTGGAAGAGAAACTGTTAATAATTTGTATCCATCTGAATCTTCGCAGTAAATTTGCCAAGAATCGAATTCTGGCTCAACTTTACTGTTTTCTTTCGAATCTATTTTCCAGATGACCTAGGTAAAATGAATTATAAATAAAAAACTATTCCACAGTTTTCGTTTCGAAATCACTTAGAGACAAATTATTTTTAAATGTTATGTTAAATGTATTAATTCTCACTTTAACTGATGAAATCTTGGTACTTAATAATTGCATGTCTACAAAATTTCTAATGTTAAATTCATTAGAATCTATAGAAGGCATTGTTACAGTGCTCCAATTTAATTGCATTTCACTCAAATTAGGCCATCCCTGTTTTGTTCTTGCTATTATTCGTACATCATATTTAGCTCCTCTTATTAAATCTGCAAAAATATTGATTTTATTTATAAAATACTACATTCTTTGAATCATTTCAAATAGTTTATAATTATTCATTTGAAGTGTATTACCAGAAAGAATATAATATTCAAAATTAGCAGGTAGAAAAACTACTCTGGATGATGGATGCTGATGTAATCTCCATTGTAATTTATATTCTACCACGGTGCCACGTGATTCCTTTTCTGTTAAAGGCTCCCATGATACGTTTAATTTTGTATTACTAATAATATTTAGATTTATTTTCGGTGTGCTTTTAGGAACTAATTAAAACAATGAATAATGTTACTTTAGTCAATGGTACATCATAAAATTGATAAATAATGAATATATTTGAAAATATTCATACCACTTGGAGCTGTAGTACACAAGATGGTGGCAGATTGATCGCTAGCGCCATATATGTTCCATACTCGTACGTAAAAGGAATAATTTGTAAATGGTTCTAAAAGTTTTGTTACTTCTACAGATGTGGAATTTCCTGGCTCAGGAGGAGAAATTTCTTCTTTACCACCTTCTTTTTAACAAAAATTATATACATGTAAATTCTTTGTTTGTTTTGTTCATTTAAATTGATAACAAATCAATTATTAAACCACCTTACCAGCAGGGCTATAATGGACGGTATAAGCTGTAATACTGGTATACGGTAGAGACTTTGGTGGTTCCCATGAAATCAAAATTCTAACTGGGGACACAGCGTGACATTTTAAAGAGGTAGGTGCAGCAGGACTATTGCGAGATGAATTTACTCGAAGCCGACCAGCAGCCCATATTTCTCCTGCTGAATTTACAGCTACACATTGATACAGACCAGAATCTGATGGAACTGTTGCCGAAATTGCCAATTCCCTTTTGTTGTTATCTTTTACGTAAATTGTTCTACGTCCTATAATTATTTATTATTTGTATGTTTTACAAATATCTAGGAAACTTTGTTTGATACTTGATTGATACTTCAATTATATTATTACCATTGACTGTAACATTTAGAGAATCCTTTAGCCAATAAATTTGTGGTTCAGGTAAACCCTGTGCCTGACACTCAAATCTTGCAGTTTTTCCATTTGGACAAACTCGATTTACAGGAGTTTTCAAGAATGATGGAGGTACCGATATATCTACAGTTATATTCTGTAATGATTAATGAAATTTTGATCATTATTAAATTAGATTATAAATACAAATAATTATATAATAAATTAAATACATACCTGAATTTCCAAATCATTTGTTATCGAATTTTTTGAAGAACAAGTATAGATGCCAGCATCAAAAATGCTTACATTTCTTAATTCTAATATAGCAATGCCAGTAGTAGAATTAACAAGAATGCGAGGTTGTGGAACATTGCTGTTACCTTTAAATAAATAACTTTATAAAATAATAGTATTTATATAATTTATACAAAATTCAATAAGATTATATAATTACATACCTGTATATCGAGGTATGAAAGTCCATGTTATAAGAGGCAGTGGATAACCAGATGCAGCACATGCTAGATTAAGGCTTGATCCATTAAGTAGCGAATGGTTATATGACGTTTGTGGAAATAATGATGATGATTTATGTGATTTTTCATCCTCCGATCTAGCAATAACAGTCAGTTGTGCCTCTTTACTTTTTTTGGTTTTTTTTAGGAATTCATTAGTCACTACACATCTAAAATAACCAACAAGAAAAATATCTTAACAATGGCAGTGGTATTTATAGAAATTTTTTACTAATATTTTATACCTATAAGAACCAGCATCTGATAATTGTGTTGTACTTATATACAGAACACCTGGTGATACCATTGAATATCTGCAATATCAAATAATTCTTATGTATGTATGTATGTTTTTCAAATATTAATCATTATTTTCCTTTTCTATTAATTAAGCATATTACTAACTTTGAATTATTAAGATTAAGCAGAACTGATTTTCCATTATGTTCCCATGTAACGTTAGATGGAAAGGGAACACTATCTATGATACAAGACAATCTTACTACTTCGCCTTCTTGAACGGTTACATTCTCTGGTGATTCTTTAAATACATGGCCAAGTTCTATAATAATCAAATGTACAAATATTAAGTCTTTTTTTTATGGATAAACATTATAATAAACTTACCTGCTATTTCAATGAATGTTGGCGAAGATCTCAATAGTCCAGAATCAGTTTGTGTTATACAACGATATTCATCTTTAATATGACTCTTAATATTAGTAAGGCTGGTATTTTCTTTTTCTTTGAACTTTTGTGACTTTTGAAAATTTTGTTTCTACGATAAATTGTTTTTAATGCAAATTACATTTATGACTTTCGATTTAAAGTATTTTTTTCTATATTAGAGCACTCATAAGTACCTTAATGTAAAGAAGAGATCCATTACGTTGTACAGAGCATCGGGTAGAACCACATGGTGGTATTGGTTTTCCATTACGTAACCAAGAAATAGTTTGATTAGTATCAGCTAAACAATTAAGTATTATCGATTTCTTTCCCAATATTACATGACCACTAGGTTCTATTTCTGTTGTCGCAGTAAAACCTTTTGTCGAATCTGCATCAGAACCATCCGATTTAGATACATTTCTATTATTTATATTTGTTCCAATACCTTTGACACCTGTAAAATATAAATAATCATCTTTCAATATATATACATAAATAACAATTAACATCATATTAATGAAATATTTCATTTAAATAAAGGAAAAATAATTTGTTTGATGTTGTTATTGTTGTATTTACTATTATAAATGCAAATCAATAAAATATATATATATATATATATACATATATACGTTATATATATATATAACGTTCTTAGAAAAAGTTTAGAGAAAAAGTTGATAGAAAAAACAAGAAAAACTAATGCGTGCAATTAAAAGTAAACATAATAAACGATTATTAGCAAAGTATTTCCGCAATAACGAATTGCCATGCGACATCGCTATGAGTGTAAACAAACAGATCTGATGGCAACAGTAAAAGACGCACCTGCAGCACAAGCGGGCTTTAGTACTTCTGTAAACAAGATACTAAGCAAAAATACTCGCGCCGCCATATATTAACGCTCATTGGCACCGGTTTCACTGACAAATCTTAGCCGAAACACGCCGTCGTATAACGAGACTCATGAGAAAAAATCTTCGCCGCATGTTTGACATCGTCTCGTAGGAGTGTTTTTGGCCGGGCCCTGGTTTCTTTCGCAGTTAATTAAAAAATTCTGTTGACCTCATAAATCCTTGTCTTTTCACATGATCAACAAAAATATGTTATTCATCGCGTCGTTGTTTAAAATATTCAACCGGCAATAGTCGATTACTCTGACCGCACGTTTGCCGTCGTAAATGCAACAACCACCACACCAGTAACGCCTGCTTTAGTTTTGCGTTAGCACGCGATTCGTTCTTCCCTTGCCATCATCTTCCTTGCCTCCCTCCCACCCAGAATCCAAGCTCCGAAGAAAATGATTCAAAATTCTCTGCCACGACAAGCGCGACAGCGTCATCCTGTGGTCAACAGTAGAAAATACACCAAAGTCATACTATCTCATTCTCTTGGATTCGATCATATTACGGAAATCGGGTCAAATAGAGCGGTTTTACATCATCCAATCAGAGATCTTCACATATATAGACTACACTCTGATTGGTGCATTTGAAATATTGATTAATCTGATGCAATCTAATCTCAAAATTACTTTGACCCTATGCTTTTATCCTAATTAGATATTTCATTAGATATATTTGTTTATACAATTTCTCAATTTTTTATAGATTAATGTAGTGTAATTCGTATAGGTAAAATCATTTATAATTATCTTAACTATATAGTCATTAAGTGTTGGCGCGATTGAGTTATCTTGTCTTGACATTTACATTTAAAGCGCAATGAGAAGGTACTTAAATTACCTAGTTAACTACGATGTCACTTGGATCGCTGTAATCGAAAAATGTTATTACGTTTGAAAATAATTTCAAAAATGTCTATCGCAGGTAATTAATTAATTTATTTCACATTATATTTATAATCATTATTTTTAACAATAAACGTCGTAAGCTTTTTAATTTTATCATTCCAGAATGATAAACCCACGTAATGCTAAGATTTTGACTTGAAGTTATATACGTAATATGAAAAACACCCCCTTTATATGATAGAACACTACGATATTCAACTATAGATTTTTAAAAATGTTTCTTTGCAACGCTCAGTTAAAATTCTCTCTTTAAAAATCGCTAATTATTTAAGTATTAGTTAGAAAAAAGTATTTTCAACAGTACGAGAAGAGTCCTGGAAGTTGCAACTATTGTTCCAACAATTGAAAATCATATAGATAATTGATATTTCATTTATATAGAGAAATTCATTTCTATAAAGTACTCTATTTATTAATTAAAGTTTTTTAATATACATAATCGTAATTTTCGTAAGTAAATCTTATTAATTATTATATACAATGACACATAAAGTAGCGTCATATTAACATCTTATAATTAATATGAATTTTTAGCGTATTTTTTTTTTTTTTTTAACTAATTTGAAACGTCTGTGACATGAAGTTATCGATCGTTAGTCGAATATGATTCGACAAAGATGAAAATGTAACGGGCAATTGGTCAATACCGATCGGAAGTGCTGATTTTCTTAGATTCAAATCTATATACCCACCACATAGATAAAAGGCACGTTACGATTTGCGTCGATGAAATTCAGAAAGGATTTCCGATTTGCTGAGAAGAGAAGTAAGTCTAGTGGTGGGGATGATAAGGGCGGAGAAGATAGTGGGGAAAGGGTGGGGTAAGAGGTAGAAGGGGGATATCCGCAATTCAGTTCGCGAAGCGGCGTAATGTGAAGAGGAACTGTCGTTCCGCCTTCGACATCGTTACGTCGCTGTTTAAATTTCTCTCTTCGTATTTCCAGTGTCTCTTCAATCTCTAATTGTATATTAGTGTGACAACTGAAAAAATTTGAAAGATACAGGTCCTCTTCTAGCAAGAAGATCAAATATTACAAATGGAAGACAAAAACACACGTTGAAGATATATACAAGGTTTATTTCTTTTTCTCTTTTTTTCTCTTTTTTATTCCTTTTCTTTTTATTTTATCTCTCTCTCTTTCTCTTTCTCTTTCTGTCTATTCTTTCTTTCCTTCGGGTACAACCCCTTTCAAGAAAATCTTGCAATTGTCTTAATCGACTTTTATATTTTTCATTTTCTTTATTTTCTTCTTTTCTATCGCTTTTTCTCTCTTTTTATGTATTTTTTTCTATAATTTTACATATCTTTCTATTTTTCATTTATCTCGCTCTCTCTCTCTCTCTCTCTCTCTTTCATTCACCCCTCTTTTTTTTTATCCATCTATCTCTCTTTCTCAGTATTTCTTTTTTGTTTTCTTTTGTTTTTATTTTCTTTTTCTTTCAATGAAATTATAAAATGCTCATTACGATTTATACGCGATTTCGTTAGACATTAGGTGTGATTTGACTGAAAAACACGAAGAGATAGGCTAAACCCTAAACGCCGAACCTTATCAATAGTTCACCAGTCTAATCGGCGTACACACGTAGTCCTTTGGAGAACGATAGAAGAAGAGTGTGTGACGAAAGTTCTCAAGAAACGGACGATCTGGACATGCCTACGTTGGTGCAACCAGTAAGTATACGCGTATAATAAATATATTAATCATTCAAATGTTCTGTTACATATTTGTTTTTCATAATAATACGAAATCACTATTATAGCTTTAATATCTTTTCATTTTCTATATTAAACTATAAGAAGAATTGTTAATCGATTTGAAGCATCCATTAAATTCAAAAGATATGTCCTCAAAGATAATAAACAAATAGGATGAATTGTTATTAATATAGATATCTACGTATATATAGATGAATAAATCATATATTCCTTTCTCTTTCTTTCTTGCGAAAAGACCACGTGCAAAACACGTTGCGTGGCCCGCGGATTGATGGACGAATCTTACCTTTATCGTTTCACGCCGTCACCATCGTTGCGCCCTCTGACTTTATTTTCCCCTTTTTTTTTTCTTCTTGTTCTTCTTCTTCCCCTTTGTTTCATTTATATTTATCTTCTTGGGTTTTGAAAAAAAAAAAAGAAAAGAAAAAACAAACGTTTTATTTCTTTCACGCTTACAATACGCATTTTTTTCAACAAAGGTGGTGGACAACCACCGTCCATTGAATTTCCAATTTTATTATGAAATATAATATATATTTATCCTACGATAATTAATATCGATAAATTAGAAAATAATATAAAGAAAAAAAATTTAAGTAATTCCCTTTTTTTCCCCCGTAATCCTGAGATAACCGACGTGATGACCTGTATTTTACTTCCTCCTTTTGTTACGTCACAATTTCTAACGCAATTGTGACCTTCTTTCTTCTATTCCGTCAATAAATTTACAATTTAAGAATAATAGACATTAGGTAGAGTTTTTTAATTAGCTATATATATATATATATATATATATAAAATTAGATTTAAAATCATAATTTAATAAGATTAGATCTCGAAAATTTGATTTTTATTATAGAAACTTCCCCTTATCGAGAATTTGATCTTACATAAGCGTAATAATCGCGTATATGTATATGCACCGTTCGTGTTAATTTTACATTAATAATATTTAAAATGTTTCATATTCAATTCGTTCTTTATTCATATATTATTCTTATTAACATTTCGCATGCGTACTTTGATATTATTGACTAATTAGAAAACAGAATTATTCCTCAAAAAAAGAAAGAATAAAGTGTTAAGAGATATTATACTAGTTTCGATATGTAAAATCAAAAGCGTAAAAAAATAAAGAAGAAATAGAAAGGAAAGAAAAAAAACAAACTAAATTTTTTCTTTTATTTTTTTTTTTTATCTTTGCTCCTACTTCTTCGTTGTTTCTTTTATTCTTTTACCAAAATTTGTCGTTTACAACATATAAATAGTGTTTTCAATATTTTAGTCTTGCACAGTTTGTACTTGTTCGCTTGTTGTTTGCTTAGTTTATATCATATCAAGATATTACGATGTTCAAATAACTGTTTACCCTTACAAATCTAATTATTTAGATACATTTATGTTCGTTCGTTCGTTCGTTCGTTCGTTCGTTCGTTTGATTAACAAGTAGTACATATATATATATATATATATATATAAGATGTTATTCAAAGATTTCTATATATATATCTTTTGACGAATCAGCGAATAATTATGCGCTGCTTACGACAGGTGTTTGATTTCTCAATGCGATAATGTCATATTATGCAGAAAAAGAAAGGAAACATCAGATTCGCCATACAAATTTAATTTCTTTCCCTTTTGATGTTTGGTAAAGTTAAAACTGAGAATAGTTTCTATTATTCGTATTTAGAGGAACAAAAGAGAAAACTCCTCCTTCCTCTCTATTGTATTTATTTATCTTTATTTACGCTTACTATATATATTATGGATAATATTGTTTTTTTATTACATTATATTGTATCGTATGAAGAAATGTGTTGTTAGAAACGTGATACGCATTAATATACATATGTTTATGTATATATAAATATCGGAATAGAACCTTAGCATCGTGTTAACAATGATGATTATATATGAGAAAGTACAATTTCTAAGAAGTTTTCTGTTAAACCGTCCTCTCACACTACTTTGAACTTGAAAGGACACGATTCCAAGAAGTTTAGTTTGCCTCTTAAGAGATATTGAATAATAGATATTTGCTCGTTATCTCTCCTGACCCGAGAGAAAAGTGTGTTGTTTTTTTTTTTTCGCAAATTCCACAAACACGAGCTGGAAGTGACGTCCTTGGCGTCGTGTCCTGTTTTCGTGTTGTCTCTATCGAAAGCTTGCAGAAACACACACACACACATTTGATCGGTGTCGTTTACAGAGAGATGAGGTCGAAAAATTCTTGGGTACGTAAACTCACCTTACTGTATTCTCTCTATATATTTATTTATATCACATCGTGACTCTCTCTGCACGCTATTGGACCACAAATGTGTTTGTTCGAAAATTTTATTTATATGACTCGTAAAAAAAAGTGTGTTGGGGTTTTTTTTTATTCTTGTATCTTTTCATGTTTTCTTCGAGTAGATCTATATGTATGTGTGTATATGAATAAGTAAAATACGCTTCATACTTATTTACATATGTATGTACGTATTATTTTCACGAATGAATGCGTATAGATAGTAACAAAGATGATCGTTTTTGTTCAAATGAAATAAGAAAAGTGTTATATCTTACATTCTTATTTATTTATTTATTTGTTTATTTATTTAGTTTTTATTATTTTCCCCTTTTCCTTTCCTAGTTGTCTTTGCCGTACGATGAAGATGGAACTAACACGTGGGAAGGCTCGGAACGTAACGAGACGACGACGCAGGGTTTGCAATTGCATACACAGCACGATCAAGAGATGCAGCAATTGCAGTTGCAGCAAAGAGAACGAGGACAACTTTTACAGGCGCAGCAACAGCAGCAGCAATATCGTGAAAAGACGCAGCAGCAGCAACAACAACAACAGCAGCAGCAACAACAAAGAGATTCGCAACGTGAACGGGAACGGGAACGCGAACAATTGCATCAGTTGCAATCTATCAACAATTTATTGCTAGATTTACCAACGACGTCGAGCTTGTATTCAAATTATTCACACGATGCCTCCTGCTCGCAATCTACCAAAAGTTCTAATATAGAAAGTGAGCTTATAATGTTATTTTTATTTATATTTAATTAATTAGATCTTAAATGTAACATTTAAATTCAATCAAATTTAATATATCAAACTGAATGGAAAAGTTAATTATATAACGTTTAAATGGTTACTTCGAGATTACATGATACTACTATAGTAAGGAATTTTTCGAAAATAATCGATACAATTATCGATTCTTGATTTTTCTATTAAAAATTTTCTTTGTATTTTTTGTTCTTATAGGTGATATGAACATTTCGGATTTATTTGGTCTGAGTTTACCTCGAGGATCATTAATGGGCAATCAAACTGCAGTCGATTCATCGAATTATCGAAATTATCAACAACGCGGACAACATCGTAATAATCAGGTGTCCTCCTCTCATCAACGTTATCAGGTAAATCAATGTGTTATATATATTTGTAGAATTTTAATTGTGTCGTTGAAATTTGTCTCACGCGTAAAGTTTTCCTTAGACTTCCAATAACCAGAATTGGATTCATAGAATATCTTCTATTATGCTAGTCGTGTTTTAGTAATAAAACTTGTTCGTTCAATCGGTTGTTACAAATTTGAAATTAGTTTCGGTGAATATCGTACCAATAATATATTATACAGATAAAGTATATATTATTAAAGGTTGAATCGCGTATCTCAAGAGAAATTGCTTATTTCTATGAAATTTATGATTATATTTATGGTTATATTTATGATATATATATATATATATATATATATATATATATATATATATATGTGTGTAAAAGCCATATAATTGTTAGACTGGTTTGAAAGTACGATTATACGGTGATTCGTAGGATCATTTAACTGTGTGAATCTCGTTGGCAAAGTAGGTGGATCTGGAGAAATTAAATACGATAATAAAACTTGTATGATTAAACTATAGAAGATAACAATTCTTAACTTTAATATGACAATCATTTTCTACAATTTTTAAAAATACTATTTCTCAAAATTTAAACCTTATAAAACATTATATCCTAAATATATATACATATTTACTTTCAAAAGTAAATTTAGAATTAACCGATAAAGTAACTTAAATATTTTATTGAATGAAAATGTCGACTTTTATTTGCCCGAGGATGAATTTTTAACATACTTTTTTATTTTATCGTTTATGAAGTTCCACGAAATGTCGGATAATTCAAAGACGTAATATAATAATGGAGGATAATATAGAAGGGGGTGGTTGGTGGTTATTGGTTGTTGTGGTGTATATACATGTAAGAAATGGAGCCTACAACAATTTTGGCAGACTGTAAATATTACGCGTTAGGTTGCGATAAAAACGTCAAACGTGAAATAGGCAGTATTGTGCTTGAGACGTCTGGTTGCTGCCAATGCAATAACCGGAACAATGATTATCCCCATTGGAGTAACTCCAACTACCCCTTATTCTATCCAGACCGACTAATTTTTCGCAATTCAAACGGCAACCCGCCATATCGATCATCGATATAAACTGCCACTCATTTGTTACTCAACTCATATATATATATATATATATATATATATATATATATATATTATTATTATTATTATTATTATCAAAATTTGAAGATATCTATTCAATTTATTATTAAGGTGAACCTAAAATAATTTTGTTATAAGATTATCAAAAGTTAAAGCCCTTTTATAGGATAGTATAGGAAAATAAATATTGTTCTCTTGTTGAATACATTAGTGTGTTAGTAGTTAATGTTATGCAGAGAATAAGATCCTTGGAACATCGAAATGTGTGCATTAGGCTCGGCTTATAACACGTAGAGTAAAGTAAATTACATAGAAGCAGCGGAACGCCTCGGAGCGACCTCGATTTTGGCCTCGATTTTGCCAAGTACTTGCAGACTTGAGCCAAACGATTCTATTCCACACTTTTCTTTCTTGTCCTACCTCCGATGATGGTTTTCGTAAACTTGTTATATTCCTTCGAAATCGTCTATCCTTCGTGATAATTCGCTATGTTAATAGTTTGGATATACTCCAAGGATCGTCTTACGAAGATGCGATGTATCAAAATAAAATGCATATAGGATATATAGGATATTTAATGAAAAATATTAATAATTATAATAGTGCGAGGACAATCACGGATTTTATTCTAATTCGTCTACGGTCGATGTACCTGGTTCGCCAAATTCGATGACTACTTCTGGAAGTCCAAGTACACCTGGAAGCTTATACTCCAATCCATACACCTTTCCTCAAAGTGCTAACAGCTTGTATTCAGGATCATCGGCAGCAAGTCGTTCGTCGCTTCAACATGTAGGCTCTCCTCCATCACCTGTTCATTCACCATATGGCAGAGCTATTCGTGGTTCTCCACCATACAGGTATGCAATGCAGGTGTTAGATAGATAGATGAATGATCATAATCAAAAAATAATTTAATATATATGTATGTTATGTATATAAATATATACATGTGTGTATTTGATTTTAGTAGTTGCGGCAGTCCTACGTTAGAATATCCTCCTCATACAGCAGGTTGCCATGTATCACGATCCAATTCACCAGCAGATTCGGAGACGAGTGGTTCTAATAGTATGGATGGTTCTTTATCTAACATAATGGTAATTATTAATAAATTAAACTATTTTTGTTTCTTTTTATATATTATCAAATTAAATGTTAACAAATATAATGATATATTTTTTTTTTATTTACAGAATTGTTTGTCATTAAATACATCGTCTCACAGATGTTATCCACAATCTTTAAGATCATTAATGTCACCAGAAACAGATCTCTATGGAAATAATAGGACAGCGGCATTGCAACGTATGGCGATTAAAAAATATTTATCTTCGTCTCATCAAAATTTATCATCATTGTATCATCAACAAACACACGGACAAAATAATCGTACTCCTCACCATTGCGGTTCCCCGCCATCTGGAACATTTTTGAATTCAATTTTAAATCACGAGAAGGGTTGCTGCTCAACGGGAAATCCTCATATGATGTTAAATTCTCCTCTCAATATTCCTGATCCACAAATATCTTTGGATCGAGCGGCAAAGTTTCATAGAAATGCAGCTGGTAGTAAATCAATAATTTAATGATAAACAACTTTTTATGTACATAACATTTGAAATTGTCATATATGATTTTTTTCAGCGCTTTGTGACCCAACTTGTACTTGGAGTGGTATATTGCCTCAACGTATACAAAAACCAACAGGATATTCTTCTAAAGTATTTCTTGGTGGTCTTCCATGGGATATTACGGAATCCCTTTTGATAGCTACGTTCAAGCAATTTGGTCCAATTCGCGTTGAATGGCCGAAAAAAGAACAATCTACTACACAACCTAAGGGCTACGCGTATATTATTTTTGATAATGAAAAACAGGTATTATATATGTATTGTATTTTTTTACGAAGAAGCATGTGCGCGCATAAGGAACAATCTTACATTAATTGTAAATATAAATGATTTTAGGTACGATCTTTGTTGGCCTGTTGTACGCACGATGTTACTAATGGTGGAAGTTGGTATTATAGAATTTCTTCAAAACGTATGAAAGGAAAAGAAGTATGTTACGTAAGAATAGTTTTCTTTTATCATTTTTATTGATATAAATATAAATTAATGCGTTACGTTTTTATAAATGCGCTAGGTTCAAATAATTCCATGGATTCTTAACGACAGTAATTATGTTAAATTACCATCACAAAAGCTTGACCCGCACAAAACAGTTTTTGTTGGTGCATTGCATGGCATGTTAACTGCCGAAGGTTTAGCCAAGATTATGGATGATTTATTTCATGGAGTTATTTATACAGGTGATTTGAAATTTGATATTGAAATAAAGATTTAATGAACGATTAAATGAACGAAAATATTTGTATTTTCAGGTATTGATACTGATAAGTACAAGTATCCAATAGGATCAGGTCGTGTTACCTTTAGTACGAAAAGTTCGTACAAAAAAGCAGTGTCAGCTGCTTTTATAGAAATAAAAACTGCTAAATTTACAAAAAAGGTAAATATATATAATAGCTTATTGAAAATACAACATTATTATATTATTTTGTCATATTGTTAGGTACAAGTTGATCCTTATCTTGAAGATTCCATGTGTTCTGGATGTTTCGTCCAACAGGGAACTTATTTCTGCCGTGAAGAAGTAATGAAAAAAAATCATGATTACATTTTCATCAATTTAATAAGAAAGAATTCGTTAAGTAACGCTATATTTACTATTTAATTTCAGATATGTTTCAGGTATTTTTGCCGTAGATGCTGGTTATGGCAACATTCTATGGAATCAATGCGATATCATAAGCCTTTAACGCGTAATTCTAAAAAAAGTCAGGTGATCGAATTATCACCTAACATGGGTATTAACACTAGTAGTTCCCGCAGTTCGAATTTTTGTATTTGAAAGAATAATGGAAGTTCATTCCCCGTGCAGCCACGTTCAGTTCTCTTTTGACTATTTGTTTTGATACGGACGTTGCACTGGTTGACTTATTGACAGGGTATAATGTTAGTTTTTATTATAAAAAGCTGTAGGTAGCTGGACGGATATATATCGAAAATTCCAGCTTATCTCTTAGAAAATTGTACAACGATTAAGTTGTTATCATTTAAGAATGTGGCGATGAATCTGGTGTATTTGGGCTACATTCGAGACAAGCATATTACTTTTATTTAGTATGTTTACTTAGGGTCTGTGGTGCTCTTGTGCTCTTATTTTTACTACGTAAAAAAAAAAAGTAATCGTGTCAATAATTCACCAGAATTGCACTGAGAGAGATTATACGTTATATAAGGTAGTATTATTATTGTCGCCTTTTCGTTAAATTTTCATACAGACTGAATGATGGCTTTATGGTGTGATATAATATTGTTTTTTTTTAATACGACAAATGAAAAGTCGTTAAAATGTATAGCGATGAGATTGTGGATAAGCTTAGTTAAAAGCTTAGAATTTATTTGCGATATTCTTGTCGCCATGATGATGGATTATGATAATAACTACTTCTTGGCAGAAGATTTACGCTTAATTGTTAATTATTACTTTAACGAGACTATACATTTAGTCCTTTTTTTCTAATTGGGCGAATTAACAATTGTATTTGTTATTTTTTTTGTACGGTCTACTACATGATATATACTAAATGATAGTAATATATTGGTAAGAGAATCGATTTTGAAGAAAGTATTATCTCCAGTACGCAGGCCGTTCTTCCAATTCGAACAGTCGCCTAGTAATAAATAATACACCCATCGTTAATTTTACTTTATATTATAGAGTATAGAGAAAGAATACCGATTCGTGCCCACCGTAGTTAATAATAATTTATAATTGTTGTTAGTTGTGGAAAAGCGGGCTAAGCTTTTTTAATAAGCCTTTATCCGCTGGGACTGTTTAAACTGTTGACGAAATGGAGAAGTACACGGTCTACGATTCTGGCACGCATTATAGTGAATTGATTTTGTTTTTATTTTTTGTTACTATATTGCGTTACATATATATTTTCTTTCGATAAAATGTCGTCGTATATTCTTTACCTCGCGTTTATTATGTTTTGATATCATTTTGTTGAATTAATTAAAAGTTATATTTTTGCAGATAATTTTATAATGTGTTATTCTCATTTTTTGTTGTTTTTTTTTTTCTTTTTTATTCTCCTTTCATAATTCGCCGTGTGTGTTTCTTTTGTTGTCTTTGATTTTTTCTTTTTCTTTTTGTTTTTAAATCCTTTCTGATTTTTCCTTCATTACATGTCATCATGATTTTTGTTTCCTTTAAAAAATAATTCATTATTTTCATTTATCCTATCAAACAATATTATAATAATATATCATTTAATATTATTGCTACAAGAGAGTTTATTTACTTAATTCGATTACGTTTATTATTGTTTTTAATTCAAATGATATACTTTTTATTATGTATGAAGTTATTTCGTAAACTATTGTAACAATTTTTAATTTGAAATTACGTTGGTGCCTTTTTTGTCAAAGCATACAACAAATTTCTAAGATAATAATGGCATTCTAATAAAAATTAAGCCTCTCACTCTCACTCACTTTCTCACTCTTTCTCTTTCTTCCTAATAACTTGTCCATTTCATCAATAATCTAATCGCGCCTAAACAAACAGTAACGCATTGTTAATGGTAGAAATATTCACTGAGAAAAATGAATGCAATAGAAAATAATGTTGAAAGAATATAAGACTGTTCAGGAAGAAAAAAAATCTACTATATATATATATATATATAATTATAAATTCTCTTATAGAATAATAATATACAAAGAAGATACTCTTAAATATACTTGAACAGATTGAAAATATTATGTATTATGTTACAATATGTTTGAAGAAATGACGAAGTAGAAGATAAACGTGTTTGTTGTTATATAAAACAAAATTCACGTGAAAATTGTTTTAACATATAATGCATATACATAATTATATGCTTTGATCAGGCTTCCAAAAGACTTAATGTTAGGACTATTTTTAGCCCGTAAGTCATTTTTGCTAGGACGGAAAAAGTAAAGTAACAAAAAACAAGTCTATACTTACTTGCACAAAAAGTATCGAGCTATCATTAACAATTTAGAGAATTTAGAGGTTGACACAAATTTTAAAGATGCTCTTTTATCTAAAATATGTCTCCTTTACAAACTTTTAATATGTCGTGCCTTTTAATATAATCTTCTTAGATTTTATTCAAACATGAGAGAGAAAATAAATTATTTTTAAATCATTGATACCACGCGCAATACACAGGGTGATTTAGTGTTAATTGAAAAAGACTGTTATTGGTACGCATAATGTCAAGCTTTCCTAAAACTTTTAAACAATTTAATCAAACTTTTAAACAATTTAACTATAGTTATGGAATTATTTTAATTTTCAAGAAAAAGTGCCTCTCCTATTATTTAGTTTTTATTAATAATAAGAATTAATATGACTATAATTTAGAACATATTATAGCAACGATTTAACTTTATCACTTTAACACGAACATTTACACAGTAGTAAACATTGTAATGAAAACAAATTCGATACCTTTATCTTGACTATGAAAAAGCTATAAACAATATAAGTAATTTATGACGCTTTAGCTTTTCGTATTGTACCCTTGTTCGACAGGTGCTCTGTATTGAATCTGATTTATTCAACTAAATAAAGCGTTCTTTAATAATCCCCTTTTTTTCTCTACTTATATTAAAGTGATATATTGAAATAACTACGCTTATTAAAATAAAGTACACTATTTATTTTTTACTTATAATACATTTATAATTACAAAATTATAAATTCATTATAGATACAATCAATACTCTTATCGTTATAATTTCTTTTTTTGCATTACTCTCTGGTGCAATGCTCGATAAACAGAAACACAACACGATATAGTACCGAGTGCTCCAACATGCCACGTTTTCAAAAATCCTCCCCAAAGTACACCACTTGGAAGATAATTAACTGCATAAGTTATGTCCAATAACAAACATAAACATGTTAGTAGTTCTTCTTGAATATCACGATTAATACTTTCCTTTGCTTCACTGCTGAAATATTCGTTATTATTTTTGACATTTAAAATAATAGATAAATTTCACAGTAAATTGTTAAGGGATATTACTCACTTTGAATTCTCACACATTCCATTTCCTTGAGATTCGTTTAACTTCAAACGACTTAGTTTTCTTAATGATCTGAAATAGCAAAATAAATCAAAATGAGTAATATATATTAGGGTGGGTCAAAAAAATCAATTATTTTTTTTTTTCACGTGCCACGGAAAAATGGATTGCTAGACACCTTAAAAAAATTCTCACCAAATATGAACTCTTAATTTTAATAGGAAGATCCTCCGCATCGCAGTTTTTTATTTTTTTCTCAGTCCAATAGAATAAAATTCATACCTCATCATTAATTGATTGTACAGAAAAATGTTTTTGAAGAATTTTGTAGGAAATTTAATGCTCTACAAAAAAAGTATCTTATATTTTTTCCGTAAACCTCACCATTTGAATGATATTGAAGGCTTAAGTTTGATTATTTTAAGACAAATTTCATTTTTGTTTATGAATTTTATAACTCGACAATAAATGACTATTATAAAATGCGCAATACAAATTTTTGTAGGAAATTAACTGCTCTATAAAAATGGTGTCTTATGTTTTGGCGATTAAATTAAGCGTTCAAAAGATATTCATCATCAAACTTTCATGTTTTACTGATTTCTGTCTCTGAATACCTTTTTTGTAGAGCATTAAATTACCTATAAAATTCTTTCAAAACTTTTTTCTGTACAATCAATAATTAATGATGAGGTATTAATTTTATTCTATTGGACAGAGAAAAAAATAAAAAACTGCGATGCGGAGGATCTTCCTATTAAAATTAAGAGCTCATATTTGGTGAGAATTTTTTTAAGGTGTCTAGCAACCCATTTTTCCGTGGCACTTGTAAAAAAAATAATTGATTTTTTTGACCCACCCTAATATATATATATATATATATATATAAAATATGATAATTTTAAATGAAATCTTACTTTGTCAAAGAAAGATGAAGAGACACTACCCAAAACCATATAATAACGTTATTCCATAGTTTAGAATTAAGCGATACAATTTTATTTTCTCCAGCCCAGCAGATATGTTCTATAGGACAAAAAATCATATTTACCCCAATTTGTATCAGTTCTATACTTCTAATAAACCAATCAGATTCCTACAAGATCATATATTAAATTTTAAAGAAAAATATGAAAAGAAAAAAAATCACTTGAATTTAAAAAAAGAAAATACCTGTTTTCCCCATTTATATTTTGTTGCATAATGAAACGTTGGTAAATCATCTAATAAACGTAAGGCTACTCTACATTCGCTTATTTTACTGCTAAATATTTTTAATTTATTTTCTGTTATTTCAGATGTAGTAACCACAGTAGCTAATTTTGCTATGTATGATAAAGTACTTAAAATTTTATCTCGTCCACGGTATGTGTCCAAATAATTTGATAAGATTTCTATATCCATAATGTTGTATTTGGAATAAATATATAAATAAATAGTTAATAATTTATTAACAAATTATTCTAAATGAATCATCAATAAATAGAAATTTGCTCTGCAATGAAAAATCATGTTTATGTATAATAATTTATGTACAAAGAGAGAAATGTATTTTTATATATATTTATATTTTCGTACATATATTTTATTTGCAGCCATCACATTTTACATTCGTATTTATATATTACATATATTTGACATTACGTGACATATGACACGATGCACATAAATTATCATTGTATTTATTTCTTATGCCATTAATAATTTTATTTAGTAAGAAAAGAATCGCATAGCATGTAAATTGCATTCCCAAAGTGTGTTCGTAAAATGTACATAAGAAATGGTTAAGTAGGTAGCCATATTAGATTACGTAGTCTATGTAGTTCATGAAATATTCACGTGATGGCACGACGGTAGACTATAAGTTCGAGATCAAGACGACGCTGTTCATGGTTCGTGGCCGTGATGACGTCAGATTTGGAAGCACAAGCCGTGAGCGCGTTTTAAAGCCGAGTAGGGCGTGAAAGTGTATGTTGTGCCGCTTATTTCGCTCCGCGTTTTATTTGACGCACCCGTTACCTGAACAAAAAATATGTGCAAATAGTTAAAAGTGCGCGTTAAATCCACCTTTTTAATATTCCGTGCTTATCAGAGACAATTATGTTCGGTGCTGCATTTACGTGATTGAAAGTGAAAGAAAAAAAAAGAGAGGATAGATAGAGGAGGAATACCATGTTTCGCTACATTCCAATTTTTAAAGGGTGTAACAGGCAGGTGGAATACGTTGACAAGCGTCATTGCTCTCTGCCTAGCGTCCCCGACGATATCCTGAGATATTCGAGGAGCTTGGAGGAACTTTTACTCGATGCGAATCATATACGCGAATTACCGAAGGTAAGCAATTATAAACTTGCCGCATGCCAACTTTATTGTACCAATCTCTCTTTCTCTCTCTCTTTCTCTCTCTCTCTCTCTCTCTGTCTTCCCTCTTGTTCTTTCTCCCTTCTTTTATTTTTTCTCTCTTTTTCTCCAACTGCCTCCATGACGTCTCGTCCCGTTGCGCTACAATAGACGTGGAACGCTTACGACGTAATTTTTCTGTATACTATACTATACTCTGTCATTATATTACTACTACTCCTACTACTACTGCTACTACTACTACTACTACTACTACTACTACTACTCTACTACTACTACTACTACTACTACTACTACTACTCTACTACTACTACTACTACTACTACACTACTACTACTATCTACATATATCTTTCAATCTTATCGGTTATACAGTAGTACATTAATAAAACTATCATCTAACATTTTAAAATATTTTTTTGTAGAACTTCTTCCGTCTTCAGAGGCTACGAAAACTCGGACTAAGCGACAATGAAATTGGTCGTTTGCCACCGGACATACAAAATTTTGAGAACCTCGTGGAATTGGACGTATCCAGGAACGGTGAGAGAGAGCTGTATTATTTTCATAATAGTCTCTTTCGTTTTTCACACTGCATTTTCCAACAGAGGATATATAATAGGATTGAGAACTGAAGAATGCAACCAAAAAAAAAAAGAGAAAAAAAAAGTTAAGGATCTACTACGGCATTCCAGAAAGCAATAAATGCCAATACCGGTTGAGCTTATAAAGATTCTTGGATGTTCCGTGCACGAGTTTTCTTCTTTGGGGGGTTTCTTTTTATTTCCTTTCTCTTTTTTTTCTTTCACTATTTCTTTCTCTTTCTTTCTTTCATCTTTGTCTCTCTTATTCTTTTAGTTGCTTCTACCTTTCCTTTCTCTTTCTCTTTCTCTTTCTCTTTCTCTCTTTTTCTTTCACTATCCCTCTCCCACTACTTTCTACACAACCATGTTCCTCTTTCAAGCACGATTCTTTAGCACACTCGATCGGTTTCTCTCTCTCTCTCTCTCTCTCTCTCTCTCTCTCTCTCTCTTTCTCTTTTACTCTTTCGTCATGGAAACGATCGACGTAGGCCCTTCGAAGGTTTCACAGGGGAAATATCTATTGGAAAAGTTGGTCGTTGTCGTCGTTGTCATTATCGTCACGTTTATAAAATAAATAGAAAAACTCAGATTGTATGATACTTGAAGAAAGATAAGAAAAATGGTTTCATGTGTATGCATCTGTGTTTTATATATATTAATGCACAACGTAGAACTGATAGTTATAATATAGTTTACGCAACAAAAAAGGCGGGACTGAACGGACGAGTTTCATTAACGGGATATTATCTTTACGTCTCGTCGTACTACGGATTGTAAGAGGGAGAGCTTTTTTGGTGGGAGAAGTATAAGAGAAAAGATAAACAGAGAGATAAGGTATTATGACTTTAACAGTAGTAGAGTAGTAGTAGTAGTAGTAATATTATAAAAGATGAAATATTTGGGTAAACGATAAATACATATATATACTAAAATTATCTTTTTAAAAATTCATGTAGTCATATATATTATTATTTTTCTTTGATATGTTTTATCCTTTTTCACTTTTTTAACTGTCAACATTAGTAGTATTGAGTCAGAGCAACCACGTGTTTGCTCAATATATATATATGTATGCATGTATTTGTTCATGTACTATCTATTTATCTGTGTTGTAACTTTGTCATTTTATACGCTAAACGTTTTCCTCTCCATCAATTTTATTCAATCAATTTGTAATAATACTTAAGTAGAAAACAACATTCAAACAAATAGATCTTTTAATAATAAAATTTATTTCTTTTCAAATGAAACAATTAAAAAAAAGTTAATCGAGTTACTACTACTACTACTACTATTGAATGACGTCACGATTAAATCTAACGTGTAAAGATATATAACTTTTTATCAAGTTCTATTCTTTAATCTTGATATCGATGTCTGATATCTATAAATACTAATTAATGTTATAAAAAGATCTATCTTCCGGTCAACGTTATTATCCCTTTATATTGATTTTCTTTTGATTTTTTTTGTTTTTTTTTTTAAATCCAATTTACATACCACGATCAGATGTTATAATTAATGGTAATTAAGGTTATATAGGAAAAAACGTAGTATAATAATTGATATAATCACGTGTTATGCATCATACGTAGTAAAAATAATTTCATTCTTACTAGGGTGTAACAGGTATTCATCAAATCGTCTTTCATAAGTATTTATATATACATACGCACATACACACATGTATATATATGCACGTCTACTCCATCCTGTTCACTTTCTAACAAAGATTCACCGGCTCGTAAGAGCGAAGACATGTTGAAACGTTTCCCCTGGTCTTCTTTCTCCTTTTCACTCATTCGTTCATGGCTACAAGTACTTTCTTAAGAGGGAAGCCTTACCTTTCCTTTCCTTTACTTTACTTTACTTTGCTTTACTATACTTTACCGTTCTTCATCGGGTTCATGCACTTTGAATTTACTTACCGTTTCATCTCAACGTTTTTACCTTTTGAATCTTTTTCATTTTATTTCTTTTTTTAATTGAACTGAATGATCCTAATCGCTTTTTTTTTCTTTTTTAGAAAAATATTCAGACATCACAAAAACCAACTAACAAAAAAAAAATAAAGAAAAGTAGAAAGAAAAAAAGAAAGAAAAGAAGGAAGATTAGGGTAGAAGTGGGGAGAATGAATATTATTTCATTGTATATAGCAGGTTTTATTTTTCACCAAAATTTCTTGAAACCTTCGTACTGAAAAGAAGAAAGGGTTGCCTTTAGAAAATGTGAAGAAAATTTATAGCCTGATTCAACGTATTCTCGTCGTATATATATATATATTCCATATCTCTTGTTGATCTTATAACGTAGAAAGTGGAAATATTTTTAGACATAACAGAGATTCAATGGAAACTCTGAAAGAGATTAAAATTTGTTCTTTCCTTTAATCGTTTGAAAAACACAAAGTAAACATTTCCACACGAGCATTCAAATAAAGATAAAAAAGATGTTCTTTATAATAGGGGGGCTTAACGATTCCATTATTATTAATCGTTTATCGATAAATAATTGTGTTGTTAAAATTCCATCGAAGAATACGATTCGTAGGATTTCAACATATTGTAATACTAATATAATAATAATAATAATAATCGTCGTTACTATTCACTTTGGAACGAGCTTTTATCATTTAATACGTTCAATTAATATTGAATGAAGTTTGCATTTTAAATAGCTTCAAATGGAAGATTCAATGTCGGAACAATCGGTTAGAAACTAAAAAAATCATTTCAATGTTATGTCGCATGAATGATGTGATCATATTCATTCTTTTTCTTTTTTATTTTATTTGGTTTTATTTGACAATATTTATTGATATATTTTACTGGAAAATAATTAATCATTGTCCAGTATTTTAATGGTAATTCTTATTCTGATTATAGTGGTAAATTCATGGTTCAATTATCAGTATCGTTGGAAGCTTTTCAAACTGTTATGTGTTATATGCGTCAATCTCGACTTAAAAGCATTCAAAGATAACGTTATTGCACATGTATGCTTGATACTTAAATGTTATATGTATTTGTAAATCAGTGATTATACGTCCTGATACTTTTTTCCCTATCGACAAAATCCTGTTTTGTTTTAGTTTTTTTATTTTAAACAAAGAGGGTATACTACCTCGATACTAGTTGAATTTTATTGATGATCATTTCTACACACACACACACACACACACACACACACACACACACACACACACACA